AGCTCAGAATTCTTAGAGCTTAGGGTTCTTAGAGCTTAGGCTTCTTAGAGCTTAGGGTTCTTAGAGCTTAGGCTTCTTAGAGCTTAGGGTTCTTAGAGCTCAGAGTTCTTCGAGCTTAGGCTTCTTAGAGCTTAGAGTTTTTAGAGCTTAGGCTTCTTAGAGCTTAGAGTTTTTAGAGCTTAGGCTTCTTAGAGCTTAGAGTTTTTAGAGCTTAGGCTTCTTAGAGCTTAAAGTTCTTAGAGCTTAGAGTTCTTAAAGCTTAGGATTCTTAGAGCTTAGAGCTCAGAGAATCCTAATAAATAAACGCTTTCATCAAACACAGTCGATTCTCTTTCCTCGTAACCCACATAGCTCTTTTTTCTAACATTTAGAAGTTGGATGTATAGTTCAGCTAGCTCTGCTGAACATTTGAATACTCCAACAAGTCCTCCGCAAAGGATTAATTCAGGATTAAAGAAAGTTTGCATTCTGTTACAGGAAAACATAGCTTCTATGCCTAAAGAAGATATTATCTTTACATTAATTATATCTATTAACTGATTTAAACAGTTTTAAGGTATAATTGATAAAAGAAAGAAAAATTAAATTATCTAGCTTCTTTCTTCCATCTAAAAGCTTAATATCTTCTAAGAAAAATAAAATAAGTAACGAAGAATGTTAAGTTTGTGCCCGAGTCATTGAGAATGCTTATTTTTCTAGAATTAATCGCGTTGCGTTTGTAATAAATACACGAAGATCCAGCGTCTGTTTATCAGCCACTGAGAATAACGTTCACGCGTTAATGGCAAGCGAGAGATACTTTCTATCCGCGCGAGACCATCATTGGCGTTGAACGTTAAACGATTTACGAAATAACCGTTCGCATCCTCCAGCGTTATATTGGTGTGAGTCAATGCTGATCCTTGATCTTGCCTCCAGCGCAAGCAACGTGTATTTACAATCAACCTATGGCCAACATTTTCATCCTCCCTTTTCACTTAATGCATTCACATTTTTAGTTCCTCAATTTGCTTTTAAACCTTGAACAGTTACAAATAAGATTCTCACTTAATTAACTCTAACAGTACATATCACACAATAACATTATTATTGAATTACAATATTACTTTAACAAGTCAAGGATCTAGCTTTTATAATTATTGTCCATAAAATAAAAGGACAAGTAATAAATATTTGTATGAGAAAATATATGGTACGTAAGGTACTGTCGGATGTTATTTCATATAAACGTCAACTATACAAGTACTTCTAAAAATATTCAGACGTTTATAGGATACAAAAAATTATTGATAGCACCTGGAAGCAATAAGAAGGAATGTTTAGTCTCAATGCTCTTTCATAGTTATCTAAATAATACGTCTCCAGACGTTGGAATTCTTATTGCTACGATCCTCGCTTTCTCGTCGGACTTCTCTTCTCTGATACCCTTGGAATTTCTCTCAGGTATTTTATTTGTATTTGCAGATTTCTGTCTGCAAACGTGTTCGGTGTTTCAACATTGTTCTGCTCCGTTATACGATGAGAATGTTTGAACACTTTCAATGTTTCAAATGAAGTGATCCTTACAGTCTGATATGTTAATTCCTCCAATAAATTTGATGTTTTAGATTGTGAAAAAAAAGAGTAATTTAAATATGCTGGTAAGAGAACGGAATTGAAATAAATTTAGTAATATGTGTTTCCCTGAGCGTCAAGATATTTAACGCGACACAACTTGGTACAAAAATAATCCAGAAGAATGCAACAAAGGTAGCTTCTTGCATTTGATCCATTCAACCTTGACCTTTTGACTTCGAATATCCTAGTCCTCCAAAGCTATAATCAAACAGATTTTAACGACGTTTGGTATATTATTTCTTTTTATCATAATTATTAGGATAAGAATAAGAAATGCTTGACAATAATATTTTCACAAAAAATAAACCAATAGGATTAACATTAATATTTTTCTATTCTTTGATAATGTACCTGATGCCATTGGACCTGTAGCTTATGGCCAAAAAAACAGTAAGAAGGATGAAGAGAAGAAGGACGAAGAATTTAAATGCCCTGAGGGACAAGGCAACGGTAACTTTGCAGACCCAGCAACGTGTAGAAGATTCTACCAGGTAAATCATTGCAATGAGACTTATCACAAGTATCATGGGAATTATTTTTAATCAACATTTCTTATATAATTCAACAGTGTGTTGATGGATATCCATACTTAAACAGATGTCCATCAGGGTTGCACTTTGACGACATCAGTAAATTTTGCACATTCAAAAATGAAGCCCGTTGTGGGCCTATCGCCACAAGTAATTACTTACTTGAACAATCATTGTAAATCGTATCTTCTAACACTTCTGAATTGATAATTAATGTAACTCCTCTAAATTCTAGCACCACCACCAGTGACCGAACCACCAACTGACTTAGCAGAGAAATGTGATACTTCGAACTGTCAATTACCATACTGTTGGTGTTCAAGGGACGGCACAATAATTCCTGGTGGTATTCAACCAGATGAGGTACATACATTTTATTCTTTCTTCTTTCTTGGTAACCTACTTTTAATGTTTTTTCCATGAAAAACCATTTCATTCCAGACTCCACAAATGATAATAATGACATTCGATGGAGCAATAAACCATAATAATTTCGATCATTATCAAAAGATATTTGCTACCGATCGACTTAATCCGAACAACTGTCCATTGAAAGGCACTTTCTTCATCTCCCACGAATATTGTAATTATAATATGGTTCAAAGTTTAGCACACGACGGACATGAAATAGCTACTGAAACTATATCGTAAGTAGTAACTCTAATAAAATATGCATGCCACAATGAAAGGCAATACAATGTAAAAATCAATTACTTAGATTACAGAAAGGATTGGAAGATAAAGGGTACGAAGAATGGGTTGGAGAAATGATAGGAATGCGAGAGATATTAAAGTACTTCAGCAACATCTCTAGGAGTGAAGTTGTAGGTATGAGAGCCCCATATTTAAAACCAGGAAGAAATACTCAGTACAAAGTATTGGAAGATTTTGGATATATATACGACAGCAGTATTGGAATATCTCCTCTGAAAGTACCAATTTGGCCATATACTCTTGATTACAAGATACCTCATGAATGTAAAGCAGGCACATGTCCTACTAAATCATTTCCAGGTATTTAATAACTTTTACTACATATAATAGATACACGATCAAGTCTTTTCTAGTTGTGACAATTTCTTCTTATTAAAGGTGTATGGGAACTGCCATTAAATGCTCATTACGTTGAAAGTTATGAAGGAGGACATTGTCCTTACTTAGATCAGTGTGTACTTCACAATCATGATCCTGAAGAAGTTTTTGAATGGCTACAAGAAGATTTCAATCGATATTATGAGCAAAACAGAGCACCGTATATGATGCCTTTCCATACGAATTGGTTCCAAATAAAAGAATTAGAACGAGGCTTATCGAAATTCCTCGACTGGGCAGTGACATTGTAAGGGAAAAATGATTTTTAGCTTTGTACTACAAATATTCACCACTGTCACAAAAATGGAATATACAAATATTAATTTATATTATATATTTACAGACCTGATGTATATTTTGTAACAGCTACACAAGCTCTTACATGGATGACCGATCCAAAACCACTCAAATCTCTCAACAATTTTGAGGGATGGTCATGTAAAAAGAAAGAAAATCTTCCTGGACCACCATGTAATAATGCAAATAAGTGTGCTTTAGATTTCAAACCTACAGAATCCAATTTCACTACGACTAGGTCAGTAAAATACATTGAAAGATAAAAAATATAACAACTTGAAGTAATAATAAATATGTATTCACAGGTATCTAGAAACCTGCAGAGAGTGTCCCAACAAATATCCTTGGCTAGGAGACTCTAAAGGAACTGGACTATACAATGATAATTATAACCCTGAAAAAAAATAGAAACTTTTATAAATGTAATAGAATGATTATTAGGAAGAGTTCAACTAATTTTCATTTATATTTGTCTAAATGAGTGATATGTATAATAAATTTTAAATCTTCAACTTGATCCAGCTTTCAAATATAAACTGACAATAACCGAAACAATGAAGTTTCATATGTATGATGTAAAAATGTTCTGTTACCTTCACTTTCTTCGAACTTCGTGTAAGGCTGTTTCACTATCTATAATTTTCTATTCTTTCCTTTGTATAGTAATTTTGTTATGCCTTCTGCAATGATACAACTATTTTTATGTAAAAACATTTCACTTACAGCCATGTATAATATGAAACAATAGGTTTGAATATTTTTAAACTCTATGTATGAAAAATATTATTAATCTATCCTTTTTCCAGATATAAAAAATTTTTTATATCTTCCTAGCCCAATCTCATGTGTCCACTTATTCACAGATGATAAATAATGTGTCAATATGAAAAGAATATAACATATTCTTATAAGGTATAGGAATTATCTATGTATTTCATTTCAATACTCACTAATACATAGAAACAATAATTATCTTAAAAGAGCATTATAATTGTTCAACGAATTGGCAACCAGGGTTCAAATGTATCTCTGTACAGCGGTTTTTCTAAAACAGCAAATAAAATGAATATACAAATGTATATAATAACAATTGTAGAAATCCAACTTAAACTATTATACCTGGTGGAGGAGGAAAACGTTCTGGATGACGTTTAATATAATCTATCATTGACGCATCACGGAGTTCAGCCCTGTAGTACATAACTTTCTTCAAAATGTGCCCTGCTACGATGCCAAATAAGCAGTACTTAATATGCTTACGAATATCTAATAAAGTAAAACATAAAAATCATAAGTTAAATGGTTAAGAAAATGAATGATCGCTGAATCAGAAAGTTATAAATATGAATAATCCATTAACTTGTCTTTTACAGTTAATGAAGTACTACCATTTCGTTTTCTCGAATACACGCGTTACATAATTAGAATTATTATATTTTTAAAATTTAGTCAGACTTACTGAGAAAACTTGGTTGATACCCTTTATTCTCCAAACACTGGATTATAAAACCGCAAACACCACCTCCTATTTCAGGACCGTAAGCTTGGTAAAAAGGTTGCTTATACTTGTAAGGGGTTAGAAGATCAATCGCCCACTGTGCTGAGTTTTCTCCGTCGACATCACCCATATTATTTATTAATGAACACTTTAGAGGTGATAAAAGTTCGAAGACTGAACTGTCAGGAAATTCTTCGGTAATATGACAAAATCAATTCTCGTTAACACATCCACCAGTAGTCACATAACAACGTGCGCCTTATTCGTGAATGAATTGAATTTTCCCTAGACCGATTTTACGTAATTACAAAATAGGTAAGTTCACGATACATGTATAATAGATATTGAATATATATAGATAGATCAAAACCAATGAAAATGATCCTAATTTACTGTGTCTTTATTAGAGGGGAAAAAGCCACGATAAGAGAAATCGAGGTACTGAACAACTAGTACTTTGTGCTGCTACTGCTACTAGCCGCGTCGGACGTGAAAATTTAAACTCAATAACTTAAGAAAATAATCATAGCAATTTATAAAAAATATATAACGGAAACAGTTAGATATATTATTATTTTCAAACTTACATTGTACACGTCTATATTTCAAGATAGATACACACAATAAGGAATAATAGTTAGAAGGAAATTTTTTTTTAAGCATACATGCATATATATATATATGTATATATTCTAAATTATTTAAATCATATAATATTTATTAACATCCACATGCATTATGCTTCTGCTTCCTATGGATATATTACACATGTACAGTATATTTTTATCATATAAGCTATTGATGTAATATATACTTTACGCTATGTATGAAATATCTGAAAATAACATTATCTTGCATCTTTTTTCTAGTGCTTTGTAAAATACATTACATGTAAATACACACTTGGTGACATCAGGAAATTCCTCACAATGATTCCCAATACATATGAAACGGTATATTAAACATGGAACATCGTGTTTGAAATAACAAAAATATTTAGTAATACATTGTTAAATCAATAATAAACTCAGTGATGCGATTATTAAATAAATTTGTTAGTTTTAGCATATTTACAGGAGAAACATTAACTGGGAATCATTGTTTCATTGAGATCACATTTTGAAGTTTTGAGATCGTTTCTAACAATAGTGACAATTGAATTGTCTGTAGAAAAATATAGGATAACAATAAACTATAACCTATTTTTCTAACAAAATACTGATTTACACCTTGAAAAAGATGTTCACTTAATTTTACAACTTCACACGTCTGTTTGAAATACTAATCTTGGTCATAAAATATATTTGATTCAAAATTAAGTTTACACTTTTAAAAACAATGTTACAATTCTTCATTTAAAATGCCACTTTCATATACATAATGTTATATTTACTAATTATCACAGAATTGACACTTGATCAAACAGAATTCCAGTATATTTAAGTCGAATTCAAATTAAATATGGATCTTAAGGGGGTATTCGCGTTTCAAGAGGTCGCTTCACAACGATTTTGAAATGATGATTAGATTAAAAAATATTAAAATTGAAAACTCAGAATTCCGTATGCATGTATATTTATATTTCAAAATCGTACATTAAAATTTATACGCATATTAATAAAGTTACTAAGTATTAAATATAATGTTTCATTACAATAAAAACAATACCTTAAAACCACTAATACTCCATACAAATTTTACTGAATACTTTTGAACTATAAATAAACATGCAAGCAAAATTTTGAATTCCTAACTTTATCACTTTTCAATCTAACCGTGATTTCAAAGTCGTCAAGAGCCGATATTTTCAAACAAGAACACCTTCTCAAAAACACAGTTGTAAAAGAATATTTATCTTATAAAACTGTATTTATATTATATAATTTTCACTATATATATCCAAAAGTTAAAAGAAGATACTTCTCTAACTTGTATTTCACATGAGATATAAATTTATAGTTTACATATTAAAATATCAATTTACGTTGCATTTTTTATTTATTTATTTATATCATATAGATTGGTTAATAACTTAATTCTCAACCAAAATGCGATAAGAAAAATGCATGACAGCATTCTCTTCTTTCTCCTTTCGAAAATTCACTATGACCCTTTAATGCTTGGTATATGTTACAATATTTATGTAAAATATACATATGATGTGGAAGCATTGCAATAATTGCTATAAATAATAATTTTAGGAATAATAAAAAATATTTAAAAGGCATAGTTTCCATCGCGAACACGTTCATAATAAGTAATTGAGATACGTATTTTCATTTTTTGAAATTTGAAAATAACGCATTAAATCATACATAATTTTGAAAAATCGGCTATACGGTTATTACAATTATACATTAAATATAAACTATTTTCATCATAATTTTTCTAATGAACAAAGTCTGTGGTACTCTCTAAAGGAACTGATTGAATAAGTAACTTCTAATGCTATTAAAATTTATATTTTTGAAATAACAAGTAAAAAGAGAATAACGATTTGAACATAGTTGTATACACTAGTATCAATGCTGACATATAATAAATTAAATGCCTCATATTTTTGGTCGATACAAACCATGAAAATTCATCTACATGTCCACTTAAAGTGTATATACTTATCTTTAACTCACCAGTGTTTATGCAAAACATGAAATCATCTAACTCTATTAAATGAATTTTAATAATTTCGCTACGTTCTGGTATAGAATTGTTGTACTATACACAAATTAACCATGGGAGGACCATATCGCTGTTGCAGACCTTAAAGACGACGAGAAAAATACTGTTATAATTATGGACAATACTATTTATTTTAAAACATTTGTATATTTATACTTAAAATATCGAATCGTTAGATAGCTTATGAAATAATAGAATTTTTAGTTATTAACGCATACCTTAAACACGATTGAGGCATTGTATTCACTTGATGCCATAACATTATTGCTAAAAAAATGCTCCAAGTGCGTAAAGGGCACAACATGGTAGCCAGTGTTCCATATGCCAGCCAGAAAAAGTAAGCCATACTTGCTTGCATCAGAATTAATAATGTTATTGGCAAATGTTGCCATAGAAAACAAATCTTGAACGCTGATTTATAATCAGGTTTGTTAAGATTTTCTAATCTATAATTTATTTTGTTCATTATTGCATTTGTTCATTCAAAAATAAATATACAAAACGATACTACACTTTACCGTTTATCCACTCTGTGAGCTAAGATTAATGTAAGTGGTAGATGGAAAGAAAATAATTGAAAAAACCCATAAGCATAGGTAAAGGCACCGGGAAGGTAAGAATTTCCAACAAATGTTCCCCAGGCAAAAATTACACCTGTATGATTATCTATTATTTCACCAATGGCCCATGGACCTGTGAAAAATATACTTTCATTATGAAGAGAATTTTCAAAGCACCAAAAAGATGTGTAGATTACTCACCGACTATTAAGTATAATGCATACAGAACTAATGGAAAACACAAGCGATCGACAGTGGATAATATCCATAATTTCCTAAGCCATGAGTGAAAAAATTTTATTCTGAATCTTGGTCGATGCATCTGCTTTTCTAATCAAAGAAATATTTTTTCGATATTTTAATAGTATTTTTATTTCGAAATAATGAAACTATAAATTTAACATAGTTCATTAAAAATCTCTTATGCAACTTACTTTCACACAATATGTGAAGACACCGTAGCAAACATAAGGGGACTACTAACAGAATCAACACTGTCCCAAATAAGGATTTAAACTGAATAGAAAGAATGTATTATTATTCAAATTTGTATTCACGCATATTTATATATTATATTACTTACTATACTGCTGACGTTTGACATAAGAATTAGTCTAGGTAGAATGCGGAATGATAAACGAGATCCATCGAGAGAAAAAGGCTGGAACACTATTGTCTCTCTACCATCCGAATCCACAACTCTTACCTGGAGCCAAAGAAGAATGAAATGATCAAGAAGAGCAAGCACACAGGGAATAAAACAGTTGCGCTGTGATAGAGTAAAATTAAATGAACAAAGTAAAGAAATAAATTTTTTACTAAACTCGAATAGTGTGTATTCCATGCATGAATTCTGTTGCATTCCACTTAGAAGTATAAAGAGGTCCTTTAACGTGTTCACATTTAGACCAAGTACCGTCGTCCAGTTGAACTTCAACATCCTTTAATGATGCTATTGAGAAAACCAGCACTCTAAAAAAATAATATATAGCGATATAAAGAAACGGTAATATAAATATTATAAAAACGTATACATTTCGATAAATATTTAAATATGAAAAAATTCACCTAACATGTGTAGACTTAACAATAGACAGTAAATTTTCTTTCCTAGGCATCATATATAAAGCATGTTTAGGATTGGTAATCAATATTACTGGCCACTCTCTATATTTGACATCAATAAAAGAGAACTGGCCATGATCTATTGCTGCCACACGATACCTAACAATGATCAGAAATGTAATAGTTCTTCACCTATTATTTTAAGGGTTTTAATAAGTATAAGATACGAGTACTTTACATTCTATTATCTTTCCAATCCGCTAACTCTAATTCAAGAAATCCTGCTTGTTGTAGAGTATACATATTGGGTACTGTTCCACCAAGCGTATGATAATGCCCGCAAAGGTATACGATACTTTCCTTATCTCTGCCTAAAAATATATATTAAAATAGATGCCTATTGTGTATAATATGTTCTCCTCAATCTTAGAATGCTGTATATCACGTAACTCATTACCTATGATGTTTCTAACACCTGTACTGGTCTGTGAAAGTATACACGAAGTAGGATAGTGACCAAACCATACTATAAAGTCTGCATTATTTTCTTGAGATCTGTTCACTAATCCATGTATAGTTTTCATTTCTTGATCATCTAACACTCCAACAAAATTAAATGGTCTTCTTGGACCAGGTTTTAGACAAGCATCTACTGCAATAAAAGAATATAATTCGGAACCAATATTTATTGTATACATATAAGATCTTGGATGCTTTCTTCCTTGAATGGAATAATTGGAATAATAATTGTTTTTTGCCTCTAAGCTCACTACATTGAAATTATCTGAAAATATATTAAGTGTAAATTAGAAGAGCATTAATATTCCTGTAATTCATAATTAAAGAAAAATATATTCTGTTATACATGGTTCATACCATGATTGCCTCTCACATCTAGCCACAATGTTCTTTTGCTAACTTCTGTATCATCTAATACTTGCTTATAATATTGCCACTCCTCCAATATTTGTCCTGATCCCATCTTATCTTTGGCTTTTGCATCCGTGAGATCACCTGTTAAATTATCATCTTGTACATTATGAGAAGTTGATCAATTTTCTTATCAATTTTCATTATCAGATACTATACTATACAAGGAAAACAACAGAGAATTTTTATATTTATCTACCTCACTGTTCAATATCTAATTAACTTAAGAACCTGTTTCACCAAAATCATAAACAGTATCAAACACATTATTCCATTTATTATTGCATAAATGAAACTTACCTGAAGCAAGCACGACTGCAGGTTTAATAACATCCACAGTGACATTACAAAATTCCTTTAATTCAGTTATCCTAAATGGATCTCGAAATATGCTGATGTGTATGTCTGATATCTAAAATAGAAATGGTACTTGAAACAATGTTGCCAGAAAAATACAGTACATTAAATTGGAACACCAAGTGTTAATGGATTAATTAATGATTCAATTCTAAATTAGCACACACCTGTAGAAACCAAATCAGGTGATCGAACGATGTTCCAATATCGTAAAACTTCGAACGCGACCATTCTTCTCTCGTGTGTTTATTGGAAAGCGTGTCGTCCAAGACGTGCGTGTCGATATTGATCAAGTCGGCAACATTCGCTACAAGTATCGACAACATTAATACAAAGACCAGAAGGACAACAGTGGATTTTGTTATTTTCATTTCCAAACGAGCTTCGTGAATGCTTCGCACAGCGGTTCCCTTAACACTATCGAGGAATCATAAAGTTTTTTATTAAACATTCGACCGAATACTGAAGCCACCTGCTGTCCGTGTGTATTTTTGGTGTTTACAAATTCCACGACGTTTATAGGTTACATCCCGTGCACGTGTAACACTCCGTACAATCGATTGGATTCAAACTGGAAGACAATTCGGAATTTCGGCCTTTCATTGTTCTACCATAATTCCCGACCGATTGAGAATCATGCGTCGGCGTATACACACCATGAAATCTCTAATCATTGCAAAATGTGAACGGAATCTTTTGTATTCTGCGCATGTCAAATCCGAGCCAGCGATGTTCATCCAGCGTTTTGTCATAACCAGTGATGTGGAATGTTTATAATTGTAACAATATTTTATAAAATAGAACGACTGTTACTGCTTTGTTAAAGAGAGCTACGATTGAGGTAAAAATCATAGTCGTTTTATATCGGCAATATTATATTTTAAATTAATATAGTGTGCTAACTGCCAGATTTTTAAAATTTTGAAAAAAATCTATACTGCGCATAAAATTATTTGTGATTCCATTTACGAAGATATGACCAAGCGAATTGATAATTAGCACAAATTTGAACAAATAATGGTATCAGGCTTAAACAAACTGTGCTGTTTGCTTTGCAGGTATATCTATGCTAATAGTTTCGTACTGTTAAGTCTAGATAGCGTAACCATAGTCTTCTAATTAATTGGAACACTTCATCATAGATGGCGCGTTATGTATTTTTTCATCAAATATATATGATACGTATAAAATAATAAATATTAATAAAAAAAACACTGAAATGGGTAATTAATTCACATTATTAATTTAAAAGAATTTAACAATCAGTGTGATGTAAATAATGACCGTTATACTTCAATACACAGTAGTCAGGATATACAAATATATATTATATACCAATGAACATCACGGTATAAGAAAGAATACGTATTTCAGCTGGTGAATTTTAGGTATATCTATAAATCGGAAAATTCATGCAAAAACTTTATTATTCCTGTGATTGTCTGTTATTTCTGTACTTTATTTTTTGGTACATCTTCCATGAGATTAAATCACCAAAATATTCGAATTTCTCGAAAAGTGCACGTTCTTAAGCTATACTTTAAACGAAATAAATTAATTGAAATGAAAACCACTGAGCTATAGTAATTTTTCTTATCTGCATTAAGAACATTCGTAACTGTCGCGTTGTCATGCGAATGGTCTCCCTTAGCAAACTAAGAGAGTAGTGTTTGGTAGTGGTGTATGTGGCTAAGTTTTCAGTGAGAACAACATAACACCGTTGACTGTGATGTTTTAATATTTTTCTTCCCAGTGTCCATTATTTACTTGTAACTGTACGTTCCTCTGCGCACATTAATATCATTGCTATGTATCGAAATAATCGTACTCGCGATTCAGGCGGCATTTCTCTTGAAATAGCAAGAAATTCCGTGTGCATGTGACCTATATTCTTAATGTACACGTTAATCTCACCTGAGGTCGGGCTAGCATTGAAACCTACATTCCACTGCGTTAAGTTTTTCCATTTACATAAACCGATGAATATGTATTTATATATGTGTGGCGATGCACGGATGCATTGGTTCTTATTGAAAACACACGTTCATACATGTAACTCTGAATAACGTGTAAATTTGAGGTTTGCCAAGGATTTCAATTAATTCAATTGTTCTAACCTACGGCTTTGTACAAACTTTTCTTCTTTTCGTGGGAAGGTACAATTATTTTTATATGATAAATCACGTGTTGTAAGTTGAATTATTTATAGAGCTAGTATGGAATTTGGATATGAAAACGCTATGGAATGGAACGTGACATGAATAAGTCTGGCTACTTACTTTTATACTTAAGACATATACAGTAGTTTATTGTTTAAAAAGTTCTGCTTACTGTGATCGATTCATTAAATTTGAAGCAATTCAGGTTTTTACATTGGATCTAATTTTCAGATGGCAGCGAATGCACTCGAAGCAAAAATTAATAAAATACGACAACAAAATGAAGAAATTAGGAGAAGACATCAGGTACAGTCGTATATGGGAATTTTGGATATCTAAGAAATTGTATTTTATATTGACTTTGTTAAATCACTTTTGTTACCAGGAAGTGGAAGAAGATAAAAAGAATGCAGCAAAACTGAATGCCTTAGTGCAAATGGTACCATCGTCCGATTGGCCAGAGAGGAAGGAACCTCCAGAATTTTCAAATCCACCAAAAGCTAAGCAGAAATCAGCCAAAGAGAAGCATGAGTACACATTGCAATCCCATGCTACTGGGAACGAAGGAAAAAAGATACATTCGTTTGCTCAAGTGTGTAAAGAGATTTTGTATAAAATCTGTTTTCTATTAATGTATGTAGATCTATATCATCCCATTAGTGTTCCGCTTTATATGAAACAACTAACATATCTACTACTACGAAACATCCATGTGTCTATTATTTATTTTTATAGAAGAGAGATATACATTATCTTGAATTCCAAAAATGTAATATTTTGCAGGGAGAAGGACCACCACCAGATCCCAAATACAATTTTCTAGCAGATTCCGAACGAGAGGAACCTAGCACAGAATATGCGAAAGAATCTTCTGGGAATAGGTTCCATAATAAAGTAATAAGGGGCAGTTTTAAGAAAAAGTTTGGAGGAAGAGAAAATCACATACAAAAAGTATGTAATAATATTATATTTTGGTGTTCTTTTCTAATTGCAAAGAATTAACAGTATTAATTTTGTGCAGGATAATAAAGTGCATAAAGGGAATTATAGAGATGAATCTCAGCCAGGATACGATGCTTGGAGAGCAGAGAGGAACCGCATTGATGAAGATCGCATCAGCAGGCAAAGAACTGCAGAAGGAAATTGGCGTAGAGAATGGGATAATGATAAAGTATGATTATTAACAACTTGGGCAAGATGTATCTCTATTGTGTTTTATATAATAAAATCATTTTTGTATTATCAGCTAGGAAGAATGTTAAGGTGAAATTATTTTTAATGTTAGATAATAAAGTTATTGCATTACAGATGCATATTATAGATGATGTGACAAAGAAAACAAGATCTACATTAGGCGACTTTACAAAGAAAGACCATAAAGACTCTGATCGGAGATATTCTAATAGTACGTTTATTTATCCCTGCATATTGTACACAGTTTACGAACTGCTATATTAAACTAATTTTTCCAGACAACGAATATGTCACTCACAGTAAAGGTGGGAACCGTCTTTATCGTGGTTCTTCGAAGAACTTCTATGGCAATTATGATAATCGTTCTCATAATGCGTATGATCAACATAGAAACAACGCAGCGATACCAATTAAGACTTCTTTATCTCCAACTTCCGAAGAAAGGACTGTAGTTGCTACTGACAAAAGTATCAAAGTTACAGTGAATCAAGGCAACACAACTAAACGTTCTGTAATGAGCGTTAAAGGTACTTCATGCTACTTACATTTCATGTATTGTTATATTATATGATAACAATATATTTCAGTAAATTCACCGAGCATAGCTGGAACAGGAAGAGTCGGTCCACGACAAAGGACTCGAGTTACGTATAGTCATTCGGACGTAGAACCGTCTATGCCTGAAAGTGAATCTTTCCGTCGTCAAAAGTCATTTGAGGATAAGTCGAAAGGACCTTACTTCAACAATCAGAAGTCTCCTAACGTAAAAAGATCACACTCGCAAAAGAAAAAAGAGGGTGACGCGAAGTATCCATATCATCAAAGGAAGGAGATTATGCGAGAAGATAATGACGCAAATTCTCAACAGTGTGGGGAAGATGAACTTAAATCCCAGACGCAGAAAACTGTACAGAAATCTCAATCTGTTAAATCACCAAAGCCTGTTACAGAAAACATGAAATCAGAGGATCTGAATTTAAACACGAACTCTTCTGAAAAAGTTGAAACTCAGGAGTGCTCCAACATCGTTTCAACGAAACCTGAACAGGAGGATGCAATAGAGAACAATGAGGCACTAGAAATATGCAACTCTGATTTAACTAATGAAGTGGAAATGTCTGAGACAAAGGACGAAGTATTAGATGTGAAAAATGCTGATCAAAATGAAACATCTGAAATGGAAGTAAAAGAAGCTTCCTCGATTTCCTTAGCAGAAAGTACATCGTCGAATGCTAAAAATCCTGGTGATATTACCAAAGATGACAAAGAATTGAATAATCGCTGCAATGAGAATAGTCAACTCGACAAATTTGCAAATGATACAACGGAGAATAGTCAACTGGAAGAATTGGCAAACGATGCAACGGAGAGTAGCCAACTCGAAGAATTCGCAAATGATGCAACGGAAACTGGCCAACTCGAAGAATTGGCAAAGAATTCAACGGAAAATACCCAACTCGAAAAATTGGCAAATAATGCAACGGAGAGTAGCCAACCCGAAGAATCTGCGAATAATGCAACGGAAAATTTGCAAATCTGCTCCACGTCTTCCGAGGTATCGGTTCCTAATGATACTGAACTTAAAGTGGAATCAGTACCAGATGAAAGCAATAACGCGCTAGATGATACCGTCATGGTAGAAGAAATTTCGAGCATAGATGATCAGCAATCGCTAGAGCAAGTTGGCGAAAAGGTTGTAAACAATGACTGTGATAATATCAAAGATGAAATTATTAAAGAGGAAAGGACATCATCGATAGTAGATGAATCTGTGTCATCGCCGAAGGCTGAAGCACATTCTGTGATACATACTGAGAATCAAGTAGTCTACAACGACGAGTCGGTTGAGAAGGAGACATCACTCCCAGACGAGAAAATAGATGGAAACGTTGGATCGTCTGAGAAGAAATTAAACGACACTGCGAACCGCGGTGAAACGAGTCCAGAAAATACTCTTATCGATAGCTCGACGAAGGAGGATAAAAAGCAAGTCGAGGAGGTAAAGGATATTGCAGTAGAGCTGTAATATTTTGCAATAAGAACTGTATCAATTAGCTGTAATGCAATCGAACAGATATTACATCGATTTTTGATATTAGAAACATTTTCAATGCTCGCTTCTATTACAAATGGTCCCTCGAAATAGAATTAGAAGTTATTTTATTTTTTTCTTTTGTCACGGATGAACATTGATCAGTGAGTTTTCTAATAGAAATTAGATTGTCATTTTTGAGTTGTCGTTTGAAAGCAATTTTTGAGGACACAAATGAAAATATCATTTAATTTATAAATTCCTAAACGATTATATCTTAAAGTGTATAAGATGAATCACGAGAAACGCCTGTTTCTTTTTTTTTTAAACAGGATTTGTGAAAGAAACTTCTGAGATACTTTCGGAATCACCATTATTAATTGGGTGATGTTAATTGCGCACAATCACATTGGAATTCTTTAATCCTTTGCGGTTTTGATTTGTTTAATTTCTTTTAGATTTCTGTGAAAGATTTTCTTATGTTCTAATACATAAATTTATGTATCAAGTCTATTAACGAATAATATTTTTGTTGTCCATGATATATGGTTCTTTGTTTTGTTAAGAAAGGTATGAAAGATTGCAAAGGATTAACGTTAATGTTTATAGTGCTTTTACATACCATACCTAAAGAATAACAATGCCACGACCCGTGTTTTTGATATTTTATATGAAATTCTACGATATAGAGTACTGACGTCTGTTTAAATCGCACTCGAATATTTTTATAATTGGCAATAGCTGTTAGCTATATATTAGAGATTGATATATATATATATGTGTACATCATTTAAATGATTTGAAGAAGAAACGATATTTCGTGAACCGTTGTTTCAGAAACAACGGTCAGTTTAAATATCATAAAGATTGAAACAACACACTATATTTATTTGACCTTAGTCGAGAAGCAATGTTACGTTACTTTATAGTTTATATATAAATATATTTATTTACACCTTTTTACTAAAATATTATTTATTGCTCATTTCCTTTTTTTTCTCTTTCTCTCATGATGCGATATTTTTGTTAACTTTTTGCTTACATTTTATTTTTTATTGACGACATGAGGTAACATTTGGTTAGTACACAAAAACTGCGCCACCATGTGATTATTTAATTAATATCTAAAGTATAAATTTGCCCTTATACAGAATCGAATGCAATAATGCGAATACGTATGTTTAATTTTCATCAGTGTGGTATAAATGGTATGAAATGGCTACATGTAAAATTTATTTCGTTGGTATCAGAACAATTGTGGAATTTTTTTGTTTAACGACTTGTTTCGTTTATTGATCAGGTGCCATCATGATTTTTATTTTATGCTAATTAACAGTTCTCCATGTGTCCTCTTTGTTTTGTATCCAGTGCCATTACCGTTTTAAAACTGTTCCTCGAATGCTTCTTCGCTGTAATTTTCGATAAGGTCATGATGTTCTGTTACCAAAATTGGTGGTGCATAATCCACAGCCTCCATCGCGTTTGTTATTCTCAGCCACAGTTTTCTATTTTTAAGATTATTCTGATATATGGGAAAATAAACAATAAATGTTGTTAATAAACTCATCTTGTCTCATTCTTTTAGTGTACCTGAGTACTTAATAAATTAAGGTACACTTTGAAACATAACTTACTTTCACCATTTCCCTGTAACATTGGCAAAATTCGTCATATCTTCTAAGAGTTATATTTAACAGGCATAAACAGCCCCATATATCTGGATTCAAATTGTCAATTCTATTTGCTTCGGACAGGGCTGTCTCTGCTTCTGTAAACTCTTTAAGCTAAAATAGAATATGTATTCAACAAAAAGTTTCTCAATCAGGTGACATCCTTTAATTGAACATTTTTATCTGACCTCATAGTAACTTAAGCCAGCACCTAGCCAAGTTTGCGAAGTCGGTGAGGACTTGCACGCACTTAGAAATATATTTCTTGCACGTTCATAATCACCATTATCATAATAATAGTATCCTAATCTAACTTCTACCAAATGCAGATCCGTGGGTCTGTCAAATAACATACGTGCAAATTCATAACATTCTATAGCTTTTTCATTGTCATCTATTTTAAAATAGCAATGGCCCATTAAACTACTGATTGAGTAATCCTAAAAAAATAATAAGTACCATTTACAATAGTTGATTGTATGAATAAAATATTAGTAAATGCCAACCATTCCATAACTGCATTTGATTTTATTTAAATGAGAAATTGCATCTTCATATCTATTAGACAAATAATGCTCCACTGCCATATAATATAAAAAGTGTAATGACTGATCAGATTGAGACATTTCTTCTGCCAATGCAATTCCTGCAAACTAATAATGTTCATGTTACTTGTATTTTAAGGAAGATATTTAATACACAAGACCTTGCATTATATTTTTTGGAGATTTAATGTGCACTACCTCACAGAGATGTAGTTTTAGTAAAAATACTGCAGTGTTCATATACAAATTATCATTTGGACAGTGAATGGTGGACCAAGCGAATGGTTCATTAGGAAGCTTTATTGGATGAACCTTGTCTTTCATACACTTTTCTGCTACACGAAACGTAAGATCTATTCCTACATACAAATATACAGATAAAGTTTCGTTTTTCACAAATTTCCAAGTTTCAATAGTATTTCTAACTATCAATTTACCTGGGTAATATTCAGTTCGTATGTAAAACAGATGCAAAATAAGCCAGCCTTCAAAGAATCTTGGATGAAAATCAGTAATGGCCATTAAAAATATCTCTGCCTCTTTATACCTTTTATCTTCAAATAATATCGCCGCATAAAGTAATAATCTAATGACGTTAAGATTCATAATTAATCTCATTAAAAATTTGTGTACAAATGAAATCATAATGAACTATTTACGCTAATACATATCGTCTGTCTAACGAAATTGCCTCTAAGCAACAATGTTTCGCACGTTCAACGTCACCAATTTTTTTAAGGAAAATTGCATATTTTGTCCATAGCACCGGATCATTCTTAGACTCTGCTACTGCCTGAAAACCGAGATTGTTAATAAATATCCTTCTATATTATATTTCTTATCCAATAAAGATATTCATTACAGTAACATCATTCTTATTTATACAAGTAATAGTGTAATTAAGATAAATTTACAGTTCTATAATAGTGTCTTGCTTTGTCGAGGTTTCCAAGCTCATAAGCTTCTTCAGCAAATAAATCTAACACTTCTACGTTCAAAGTTTTTGAGAAATCGTCCGTGCATCTGCCTTCAACAACGGTATTTATCGCCACGTGCATCTGTTCCACCAAATACGTGTACACCGATGCAATGAAGTTCTGTGAATTACAACAATTATATATTACATTTAATTGTCCTTCCTTCTCTTCTTCAATAACAATACTATGTCTAATATTCTTGTTTAAAATTCCTGATACTTCAGGTTCTACAATTTCACAGTTTCTACGGTTCTTATTTTATTGTGCTTCCTTCTTCAAACATGAGCACCTGAGTTTCAGAATTGTTGATCAGATTCGATGGTATCTTGAATCTTTGATCCAGCAGCAGTATGATTTTTGATCTTAACGTGTTACGCAGTGCTAAGTATGTGCCGGTTCTGTAGAGGTATTGCGTGAAACATGTTAGTTCATCCTGAAATGTTTAACGAACCTACTTAATTCTGGCCTTTTTTCAAAACCTTTTTTTAATATTATTCTGTGGATTGCATTGAATTAATATTTACTGATTTAGGGTCGTAACAGTATTTCTTTTTCTTTTCTTCGTTGCTCTTCTTATTTTCATCGCAAAAATCCTAGCTTGATCACATCAGAATTTAAGTGATTTTTTAATAGATAAATATTAGATAAGTAAATATAAGTATTTTAATAGATGATATATAAATTTTAGTAGAAATTAACTTAATCATACTCGATAACTTTCTGTGAGAACTTCGACCAATTTTTTGATACAATTCATGTATTGTTTCTCTGCTACGTCACCGGAGTACGCGTACAGCTTCTTTTTCGTCCTTTTTGGAATCAAATCGTTGATTCTGAAAGTAGTCGTATCTATTTACCTTTTTTGACAATTACATATTGATCAATTTACAATTATAGCTTAATTAATTCTGTAGAACTTACAAGTATGAAAACTCTGATGAAATATTACAGGGGATTAGGGGTTGATGAAGTTCCACTTCAATCACGATCACAGTCGCTTGTTCGTTAATCGAAGTTAATGCTGTATTCAGGGGCGTCTCAGACTCAGAACTCAAAATCGAATGCTACAAACGAAATGTTTACTAATTTAAGTAATTACTTATTAATTTAAATATTAGTATTAATTCTAGAAGTCTACTATCATACTTTTGAGGTTTTATGTCTCTTCTCCTTGCCTTTCACTTCCTTACTTTGTGTTTCCAGAATAAAAATATTGTTTTCAACACCAATAATTGCAGTTATATCTGCAGCATTGTACGTGTACAATTGTCCAACAACTCGGCAACTTGTCTCTGCAAAAAGTAAAAATTTCAATGTAAAAGATGCTTCAGTTTAGAAGCATGAACTCATTTTATTGTGTTTTGTACATTTCACTTACTTCCTGGGAAAAGAAGCTCAGAAAGGTCGACGTAACACTGATACAATTCAACTGTTGGTGCACTGCTTCCTTTTGATTTCTCTGGAGTATTTCTATCCACCACCATGAATTGGAAAGGCCAAAATTTGTACCTTGAATATGATTTTATCAAGTTATCGGTTACTTTAAACATTGATGAAGGAATCAACTATCTGTTAACATGTCCAGCTTCACAAGAAAATTAAGTTATATTTTACTTTCAAAGTGAAAGAGGTATATTTTACTTTCTAATATGATTTTTCATTGCTTCGATTCCCATTTCCCACATTATGCATCGGTGTACAGCGTTCCATTCAATCCGTGGCGTATCTTCGCATACTTTTTCCTATAATAATAACTTATATCAGCATGTGATTATTCTCTAAACTTGAGAGATAGAAATTGCACCTCAAAATTTATTTGATCCTTAAACGAATTCTTCAGTCCCTGATAGTCACAGTCCAATTTGTACTTCGACAACCGTGCACGGTTCTCCAAATTAGCCAAGGTGTTCCAACGTTTCGTCCTCTCCACGTCTCTGTACGTCGTCCATACACCGTGCTCGAAAAATAAATTTTCTGGGACCTGATCAAATCACAGTCATATTATTTCCATGAAGATTTACATAAGGTAAATTGAGAAGAGATGTCCCACTTTTAAAGAAATATTATTATATGATAAATGTCAATAATCTAAATGAGATTTAAAAGAATTTCATAAATTTATATTAATATTACAAAGGAACCTCCGTTCACCTCTGAATCACTGTACACTATGGTACCAGCTTTGTACTCAGAGTTCTGTGTGAAATTTTCTGGTAGATTGTATACACTTTCCACAGTAATATTCAGAAAATTCGCTTCAATGTGCTGAAACAATGGTTCACAATCCAGAGATATTGTTGCTATCAGAAGTGGAAGATTCTGCCAGGACACCAGCGATCCATCATAAGAGAATGTTGGAGTTTCCAATACTAGTTTCTCTGTGTAGCTTCGTTCCCCTGAATGAAGAAAAATTATCATTAAGAAGAATATCATTTTGTCAAGAATGGAAAACTGGAAGACAAAGTTTGTTTAAAATAAAGAGTCCAGTACCTAGTATCAGAGGCATTAGATCGAGATTACAGATGCCTAGTAATTCCCATTTGGGAGAGCTTGATCCTGTGGTGAATATTGATCTGTCCTTTTTTCCATTCTCTGCATCTGTTGGATATTCTTCTTGTTCATGGCTTGTGTCACAAAATGCTTTTACTATGAACAAAAATCATACGTTAAAAGTTACATGAGAAGCAAAAGTAAAGAATAATAAAAAAATGTTGAACTCATCAAGCATCATTAAACAGTTTTTAATTGTGACTTAATATTGGAGTTGAAACAATTGTGTCCAGGCTGTCTCTGTCGTCTTCAGTAATTGACAGATAGCTGACTAAATTAATATCGTATACTGCTGATTCTTCTTCGCAAGTTGCTCTGATGAATATCGGTGAACATTCTCCCAAAATGTTGTCAGTGTGCTCTACTACGAATGATACATAGACGTCGTCTCTTCTGATCTAAATTTTGTCCAGAAACTTATAATAAATTATACAATAATGTCCTTTCCAAATGAAAAACAATAAAAAACTTTTCTTACAACATTCTCAATGGTACTCAGAATAATTACAATCTTCTTCTCTAACAAGTTTTGCTTCAGGAACGTTTCCTCCATTTCATTAAGATAAGAAAGAAAAATATTTCAATGTAATCTGTCAGATTTACGTTCCTCGAATGCTGTTGTTTACAAAGAAATAAAAGAATATCAAGCACGTAGACACAGTCGCAGGTCTGATTTCATTACTTAATAGTATATATTTCTTCTTTGATAAATCAGTGTACACGTATGTGTGACGCATTTATAATTAATTTCGTAATGTATATAAATACAAATATTATAAATAATTTATTGCACCACGGAACGTTGGATCGAATTCATCCGTTCTGAGCAAGTTCTACGTTCTCTTTTGTTTTTTTTCTTCTCTTTTCTGTTCGGTTCCTATCGTTTTGTACAGTACACAGTTGTCCACGTATTTACATCGGAATCTACAGAAAACTTGTCCGAATATCAAATCTAGAATCGTCTTCGACCGTTTCAGGCTTGAAGGATACAAAAGTTAGAAATGTGTTGCAGAAGCATACGTCTAATCACCGTTTCACGCATACGAACGTTCATATAAAATACCTATCTCTATAAACAAATGTGTCTTCCCAAATCTGAACGTACATTTAATGGTTTTACATAGCAACAACTTGTGACCCCGTCGAAACGGAATCATTACCGTCAGCAATGAGTTCCTTTCTCCGAGGAGACGTAACTACAATTTCCTTCCTGCGACTCCCTGGAGAAGAGCCGGTGAAGAAAACCTACTGCTCGTTCGATGAATCTTCGCAATGTTTCACTCTCCCGTATATCACATTTCATTTTGGTTAACAGTTGTATGTAAAGTCGAGTTTCTAAATCAGTAAGTATGTAAAAGCATTTGGAGTTCCCTACACAGATCCTTCGAGATGGAGAATTCATAAAATTTATTAATAGAATAAAACCCAAAGCTCCCAAAGCTACCTCAAATTACAATAATGACTAGTGCAGTGGAAAGTCGTCGATAATCATACTCTGACACAGTGGTCCAGCTGCGAATCTTCATAAAACAATTCTGTACAAACATCTCTTCGATGACAGCAACATCTTTCGAGGTATTAAGATTCCAAATGGTAGCGTCACGATGGCAACAAATTTAACATAGAAAGGAACAAGATCGTAGACAATACGTATGAATAGCAACATTAAATTTCTTGTCTCACCATATTTAACACAACCATTTTTACATAGTCTAATTTCCCTACTTACGCTACATGTCAGAGCAATGTTTATGCAAAGAGTATATACACAATGAGCTTCAGCATCGCAATTTCCTTCGCTAAGGTCAACAAACAACGTGATTCGGAGTTGCGTGGGAATGATAAAAATCGATTATGGAAAAAGGAAATCATAGAAGTCTGGGTTGTGCAGAGATGCCTCGCTCGTTTCGGGCGTGAAGAGGAATCGGAGTATCAAAACGTCACCCGAAAGAAATCAGTCGGCTAGGAGTACAATATTTTCTTCGGCGTCGAAGTTCCATTCGGAACCAACGTTCTTTTAATACCGTTTCTCGCGAGACACAGTCTTTTTGGATCGAGACGAGGATTAACGGGAATTCATGATTTACATGATCACCCGTGGCGCGAAGATCAACTTCGTTAAAGGGTCTTCAGGGTCTTGTCGATGTGTCTCAACGTCACTTCCGGTACCGCTTCCGTTAAAGTCTTGTTGAAACCCTCGCAACGCATCAGGCGTCGGAACATTCTCTTGGCGTGATTCCTAAAAAATGACAAAGATGCCATGAGTTAATTGTCAATTGAACTGTGTAAGTTAGTAGAACCAGTTTAAATCTTTCAACTAGTCTCCTCGGTGTGAAATGAAAATGTTTAATAACGTAGCTAAGTTGATAATAATGTAATGCAAACATTGTAGCAGCAAATAATTAATAATTGTTCCTGCTTTTCTTTGCAACAAAAGAAAAACTCTTGTGTTAATGTGTACTCTACCTAGCGTCCAGGTTACCATCGATCAATAATCTTGCGCCGGTGATCAATAATTTGTCTCTGACGTCCTTTGGCAATGTCATTGTCTGTTCTGGTCCCATTCGCTCGACTATGGAGGTCAGTAGTCTAGCTGTTGCTGCCCTTACGATGGCGTTCTGATGACTAGAAGAAAATCATTAAATCAGTCTTCCAGTTGAACCAACGCAGCAACCAAAATTGATAGGGTTAAAGGTAACTCGTTTACCCAGCGCCACGCTGAACTATCACACCAATTGTTTTATGCGGAGGTAAGTGCTCGATCATCCGATCAAGGGCTGCGTTGCAATCCGCGCGTAGAAACCGATTTGTGTCGGCCGTTCTGTGCAGCAAGGGCGCAGCTATGTCATCGAAGTCCTATCACAAATAAAATTCATGAGATTCCACACTGAACTCAACTATTGTAATGAAGTGAAACTCTTGTCTTATAATAACGTGTCCAGAATGTCACTTGATTCAGAAAATGAAATTTACAAGAATTTACTTCATTAATACTGAAAATAGACTCGGTGAAGATTTTCAACAGAGTTTAATACTAGAACTACCGAACAGTCAAATGTATTCTTTGTCATTTTACTAGAATTATAACTGTTATGAATTATTATACTTCAGAGCAACCAGGCATAGAATGTATCTACAGTTTGTCTCTTCCTCGAATGAATTATTAACGACAAAGTTGTATCCGTCACAGTTGACAAATAAATCATAGAGTAAAGGGTCAACAGTCACTCTTGATGGATCACCTGATCAATGCCACGAATTCGCGAGGAGAAAACGTCGCCTGCTGCTGTACACGCGGTACGAGCGACCTGTGACCGAAGGCTCTTTATCTGTTGACCCAGAAGTCGATTAATCGTTGGTGTGGCGTGAGCATCCAAGTATTCCGGTTGATTCTTCGTGACGTGGGACAAAGTCTTCAATCCCTTCATGACGGTCTCCCTGGAAAAAGTATACTTTCCATTAGGAAAGAAATATTTCTTCCCACATTCCTTTCATTTTAACCCTTTGCAGTCCTATGTCGAGTCAGACTCGACATTCTATTTTATTACAACCTCTACCTGTTTTAACAATTTTTTCTATATTCATTTGTAGTATCACAATTGTACCAATTAAAGGTAACATTTCAATGACTCCTAAATATTTTTGAATAAATAAATAGAGCTTCATATTAAGCTGTAATTGAACCTCAAAGGTAGAAACCAAGAGCACTTAGGATTGCAAAGGGTTAATACTCTTCAATGGGTTACCATTCTTTGCTCTCAAGGTCGGTGAAGCAAGTTTGCACCACTGGCTTCAATTTCTCTGAGTTTCCTCTTCCAGTACTTCTATATCTCTTCGTAGGGCGAGGAACTTTGGACGCTACGGTTCTCCGAGGTCGCGACACTGGTTCCAAGGGCTCAGTCTGACAAAATAAAATGACAAAGAATTTTTTCCACTGTGAATGCAGAATTAATTTGAAGAGAATAAATTGGTAATAGCAAAATAGTCTTTCACTTTCATCCCTGAACAGTGAATAACACTAATTTTTATGAAATCAATCTAGAAGTCTTCATCAAGAGTCTCATTTCCCATTGTATGGCAAGAGGTTAACGTCAACTACCTCGATCTTCAAGATTCCTGGCTCTGTGTTCGTCTCGCTGGAGCTATCTCTGCTCTGTCCTTCCTCTACAGTGTTGCTCTCGTTGCTCTCGTTGCTCTCGTTGCTACCATTGGATTCATCAACGAACTGCAATGCAGACATTCAATGAATTCAAGTCTCCGCTGAATTTTCTTCAAGTACTTACCCTATGGGCACTCTCCCTTCCGTCGTTCTCATTTAATTCCACGGGGTCTTCTACACGGTTGTCTATGAAAGTGGAAGCCTCGCTGGAATGAGGCCTAGAGGCAATGATGATCGCCGGTGATCCTACTGATTTCGAATCCGCACGGGACTCGCTGCGTTCCGCTGTTACCGGTGGCTCATCTTCGCAATTCGCTAATGAAGAAACTGGCGTCTCCGGTCTGAGCTCCGCAGGTTCCTTTTTGTCGGAGTCAATACTCTGCACATGAGGTTCGCGCGATGAACATTAAATTGTGTACAGTATGAGCCATGTAATGAAACTCAAATTTCTCATTTGTCTGAAGATATTCTCTTAGTCACAGAACATTCTGATCTCAATTATCAGTGACTATTTCTAATTATATAAACAGTAATCCATACATTTCAATCACAAGTAATTGCAAGTTCCAATTACACGAATACTGCATAAACTTCAGTTACTTATAACTAACACATATTTAACACTCCTTCCATTTGACTCATTGAATTTTATAAACATTTGTACATTAGAGTCAATTTTACAGTTAAGTGTATACTAATTATCTACCTTCAACCCTCTAATTTCTAAAATCTAAATAAACGAATATCAATCTGTCTAAGGATAGAACAAACTAAACAGTGAATATCCGTGAATCTAGTGTCGTCTCCATTTCCTCGATTCCTCGCAACCATCTTACAAAATTAACTAACCAATTTGCGCGAGCTGGCTCGAGAGCTCCGACCCGGTGATTTTAACGCTTCAAGCTCGATAGAGTTGCGACTAGGCGAGCGGCTGAGTTTCTTAGGGCTCCCGGAACTTCGCGACGGCGTGGTCGCCTGCGTTTCTTGGATGTCTTCTGACTGTGGAGCATCGTTAGGGTACTGCAGACTTTCGCTGGTCAGTAACCGTTCCGCGGACAAAACGGAAACGGCGGACCGTCGTCCGGCGCTCGTCCTTTCTTCCGTTCCTGCTTCAGCCTCGTCGGAGACGCTGCCTTCGCTGATGTTCGGATTCTCCGCGGGATACTCGAACCTCTCCGAGTTCCTCGAGCACGAGCGGCTCTCGTGTCTCAACTTCACGTCCTCCTCGCTGCTCCAGCTCTTAGAGGCGTCGTCGTCGACGGAGACGATCGTCGTTTCGAGCTCGGTTTCCACTTTCTTGTCCAACGCGATCTGAAAGAGGAGAGACTTGAAGTTCTGGAGAGGAGTCGAGTGAAACGAGGGGAGGGTCTTTGGGAGAATTGAAAAGGAGATGAAGAAGATTTAGAAAAGAACTGAATGGAAGGAGATGAAGAAGGTCCATGGAAGAATTGAATGAAAGAAGACGAAGAAGACCGACAAAGATTCGCAGTCTGGTAATAAAAAATTTTCTCTCGACGATCACTCACGATGAAGTCCACCTCATCCCGACTGGGAAGAATCGACGGAATTGCGATGATGTCGAACGCCGAGTCCACGTTAGGTCTTTCAGGACTCGAAGACCTGCTCTCGCTGTCTTCCCTAGCGTCGACCATGTCCTGACCGTTGTCCTGTTCATTGTTTTCCAACGCGTCGGACGAAGAGAGGTCTCGATCTTCTACTGTAACAAGAATATTGTACAGTTCTGGTGTTAACCCTTTGTCCTATGGTTTCAATCACCACCATGCCTAATAATCATTCTACAATTGTTCTAATTAATTTATCAGCTAAAGAAAAACATTCGATACTCACTCTGCCTCTACCCTCATTCTAAATATTTCGGATTAATAGAAAAGAATTAATAATAATTCACGTCTGGAAAGTAGATAACATTCAAATTCATCGAATTCAGGTCATTTTCATCAGAGTCTGATATATCATAGAACAAAGGGTTGATTATCATTCATACTATATAGATAAGTTTATCAACCCCTTAACGAAGCTAGAGAACTATCAAAATATCTTTTTTTCCTTGAAAGACACGCGATTCGCAGCGAAATGTCTTTGAACAACGAGTACCGTTCGCCAAGAACAGAAATCACGATCGAATTCCTCCGCTACGCAGCCGGCACGAGCGCCGCTTAAACATTCCGGGCAAAATATTGATTGCATCCCTGTGTTGGGTCTAGGCTTCGCGCGTTCGACCGAGGTTAAGAACCTCGCGCTCCAGTTCGCGTGCTTTCGATCCGTCCGTCCAGTCGCACAGCACCGTTTTTCCCTTTTTTTGCTATTGTTCGACGGTCAAAAGTTCCGTCGATCGAAAGATCCCATCGTCGATCGCGATTCTCCGTGGCAGAGCTCCTCAAACTTTTCTACTTCGCGACCCCTTTACTCGAGCAAATATTTTCGCGACTCTGGATATAGTCTATAAACCAAGAATGCGAATTGAAACTGCTAACGAGACATATAAGAAATAAACCGATAAACTATATTTCTAAAATTATATAATACAACATTAACAATTAATTAAACAACTGTATTTTCTTCGTGTATCGTCGAAGCGAAAACAAAAGATCGAGCAACGCTTAGTCTTCCCACGAATTGTTTCCCAAAACCGAAATGTATAGGTAGATAATTGAATTATTCGAATAAGACATTGGTATGGTTGTTTTCTTTCCGAATATTCATGCAATAAAGAGTTTTCAGAAGATTGAAAAGTTCTCGACCGCGAACAGCGAAAAACAGTTGGTTTTGTTCGAATTTCTGCGACTCCCGAATTTAGACGCGCGAGGACGGTTTGAGAACCCCTGCTCTGTAGGTCGGGCCTATAGACTAATGGCCCGCGAGAGCGACAAGTCTCAACATTTAACACCTGACTGGAAAACGATCGTTCGCCCTTCAACGAATCATTGTCGAGGTTGTACGGCGTTCGAAGTCGACTTTATATAATACATCCGACGTGTCCAATCCCATTTACGCTTTTTATAACTCCTTTGTGGCCAGAAAAATTGGGTTGTCGCGTTTAAAACGCGACTGATCGACCGCGAACGTTTACGTTTATGATCTCCGGGGAATAAAATTGATTGTTATTCTATTGGAAACACGAATTCTTGCTGCTTGGTAGTTGATAGTATCGATACTCGTTCTACGGTACCTTCGAATTCCGTCTCGATCGTGTCTATCGTCTGCGGCCGGTAACTTTCCTGCGGAAGGAAGTGCTTGTTCTTCTCGTTGTACTCCTCCTCGCTCACCACCGCTTTGTCTCTGAGACAAGAAGAACAAGGGGAACGATTAGAAACGAAAATATTGTGACATCGGTGCATGGTGCCGTTCTCTAATCACGAATATCGGGTTACGCTTTATGCATAAAATATGGCTCCGATAAATGTCGAGGTCGACAAGCGCCATGAACGCCCGCCATTGTTTGCAAATACTTGGGCCTTTGTTGAACTTCAGCCCTTCATTATTTAGAACTGGTTGGAACGTTTCAGGAATTTGCCTAATCAATGAAACCGCATTATTGAAATTACTCCTGGTGAATTTTCCTTGTTCGATCGTTTTCAAAGATACTTGACAGTGAATCTGACATTTATTATACAGAACACTGCAGATTCTGTTGAGATATTGTAAATCGATGGACAATGGAGGTGCGGGAGAATCCGAAAATATCGAATGAGATCCGAAGTCCTCAATCCAGTTGCTAAATCATTTCAAATGTTCTATTTTTCCTATTGATAAGTCTTCAGTAGTTCTACTATTAACAAGTTAATTACCACGAAAATCTTGAACATTTCACATAATTCTCATAGCAAAGATAGACAGGAACATGAATTATTCATAATCCTTAACACTATCAACTTACGTCATTACATTTTTATTCAACATCAATCACCTTACTACAATTATTTCCAATTCAGAAGCGTCGATACTCATCCCCATCAACGTGCTAATAAATACCATAGTTTCAAAGTCACGATACAAAACTACATGAAATCGTCAAAGTAATCAGAAATCCCGAGGTTCTCATATCTGGATCGATCCCTTCGCAATCATCGATTTCCCGCGCACCTCCGGTGAACGTACATCGTGTCGTTGCTCGTGTTCAACGTCAACGGTATCACAGGCGTGGTGTTGGCAGTAGTGACGATCGTGGAGATCGAATCCTCGTCCTCTTTCTCGGCGATCCCCACGGACCGCCGGCACCGGAACGCGCAAGGACAATAACGGAGAACAGTGTCGGCGATCTTGTTCTCTCTCCGCCAGGTGTTCGCCGATCTCCCGTCGAACCTTCGATCTTTCATCGTCGCGGAATCCTTCGAGGCCTCCTTGGCGTCGTCCGACCAAGCGCAGTATTTGAAGATCATCGTGATCCTTGCTCGTCGATCATCTACGATCGCGATCTTAACACATTCACGACCGCATACGTCATTTACGAAAGTAGCTGAATACCGGTATTCAGTATTAAGTACTAAGTAAATGTGGAATTATGTTGTCGATATTGACACTGGAACTACCAAATAGATCAAACTGATCCGTCTCTACGTTCTTTTTTCCGAAATATTAAAAAGGTAACAGATCTGCGGAATTACTAAGAAATTGATACAGTAATGGCCAAATTGAATCATAAGTCAATTGAAATCTTTGTCTATAGGAACTCTAGAAATATGGCTACTAAGATTTACTTAGGAAATTATTATCTATAGGAACTTTAGGAATATGGTTACTAAGATTTACTTAGGAAATTTCATCTATAGGAACTCTATACGGCTACTAAGATTTACTTAGGAAATTATTATCTATAGGAACTCTAGGAATATGGTTACTAAGATTTACTTAAGAAATTATTATCTATAGGAACTCTAGGAATACTAAAATTTGGGAAGCTCCATCTGACTACTCGGTTGTTCTAGCGTTAAGCTATAGAATTTAAAGTAATGCAGAATCGAGTAATCGGTATTCTTCTAGAAAATGTAAAGTAATGTACTACGTTAAAGGAACTTGAAATGACTACGTTACCGATATTCAGCTAGAAAATATAGAAATAAGGCAATCATTTACCGATACTCAGATGAATTTCAAATTCCGTAGGATTACGTTACAGGCGTTCGTCTAAAAAAAATAGGAACCAGGTATAATTTTAGAAGCGAAGTTATAAACGACCAAGAGCTACGTTACCGGTCTCGAATGTGTTAATAGCGCTGAGGGACGCACGAGACCCCAGAGTAATCAAGCCGACAGCACTCCGCAACCCCAACAACGCTCGCGTTGGACGGACAAGTGTCCCATCGATCGCGATCGTGGGTCCTCGATTTCCGGCGGATGGCACCGTTCACACAGTTTAAAAACTTTGTCCCCGATTTGTCCGGCACCTTCATTTTCCCCTTTTGTTGCGGTTAATTCAATGTTCTTCCTTCGTCGAGCTTTTCGCGACGAAGCTCCTCGATAGTTTCACAACCGAGCATCGCGTTTATCCTCGAGATAAAAAATTATGGGGTTCGGATCTGTTTTCAATTCTCGAAACTCGAATCTGAAGCTTCCGCGAAATTCGAAAGTCTGGAAACTTTCGGAATTTAATGAATTTTAATTGGAGTATCGTGCTTTCATTCCGACAATTCTCTTCAACCCCTTGCACTCGAGAATATTTCTCGCAGCAAATATTCCTTATTTTCTGATGAAATATCAATTAATATAATTTTTTTACAATTAATACAAATAATACCTTGCGTAAATTAAGTGACGAAACTATTTTATTTCGATGTTCCATGTGTTGGTAGATTATAGAAATTTTAACCCCTTAACGCACAGTTTTTTTTTTAAAAATCAATTTTGATACACTGCGCTTTTGTTCCATGGAGAAAGGCTATATTTTATTCTCGAATAAATAAGTGTTATAGCTTACAATCCTATGTAAATGATAATTTTCAATAAAACGATTTTTGGCCTGTTTAGCGCGCTCGAATTAACTCGAGCGTGCAAGTTAAGGGGTTAATATTGAATTTCGTTGGGTTAAATCAAATAGCGAGTGAAAGTCGCCTCTCGAGTGAAAAGGGTTAATATCGAGCCGAGCAGGATCCACGATTATTACCGGTCTATTATAGGAACAACGTTCCTCGTGAATTATGCAGCTCGGCGACAAGGTAAACAGAATACGATAACAAAAGCATAAATCGGGAAGAAGCCGTTCCGAGCCGCGATTCGAAATTCACCGAGGGAACGCGATGGAAATTCAAGTGTATCGCGCGCCCTTATCTCCGTGTACTTTAATAATCTCTATGACGAATAGGGGCTATGGCCACGGCCAATAAATCCCGCGCGTCCAGACGTATGCAAATCAGCTGCCACCCACTCGAAAGTCTAGGGGTTGTTGTGCGTTCAACGTTCATCTTGCTAAGGTTAACGAATGATCGATTAACAACCTGTTATGGGGTGATTATGTCTGACGGGGGAGCTGTAATTCGGATAATTTTCTTTCTGGGCGACTCGCGGCGTGATTTTTTCGCGACTTATCGCTCTATAGGGTGTTCCGTATATTGTAACGCAAAGGGAACGGAATTATTCTGTGCGAAAGTGGGAAATATGAAATATTTTTCTATGAGTTTCTGAGAGTAGGATTATTCTATGTGGAAAAATAAATGGACAATGTGTAATATTATGTTTTCTATTACTCTGATGATATATATTACCGTGATTAATTAGGTAATAATTAATACTAGTAGCTACTAATTTTCGTGAATCTTCTACATGATTTTATTCAGTGTTTTCGATTTTTCCATAGACATTTCCATTACTACGATTTAGAGAATGTTATCGATACGAAATCGTGCGTTACGAAATTTATATCAACCCTTTGCACTCGAGAGGTGACTCTCAGTCATCATTTGATATAACAAAATTACAAAGTGTGATATATCACATTAAGTTTCGTATAATGCATCGATATACGAAATATTTCTATGAAATAGCTTTGTTTCTTAATTTACGTATGTTTTCTCATTAGTTCGTTTCAAACGTCATCTACGTCTCATAGGAAAGTGTCGAATGTTTCTAGTGAAAAGCTTCCGAGCGCAAAGGGTTAAAATTGTCGTGTATCGTAGAATGATCAGCAAATCGTCAGTAAAAGGGTAGAAAATTTCATTTAGCGAACGGATATACCGCGAAATTGTAGATTTAGTAGCAGAAACGTCTACAGACATTGTGTACACAATATTCCGTCGCGAAATAGTTATTTCCTTTGATATTTCCGTGCCCCGTTACCCTTTCGAACAATGTAGATCTCAATCATTCTTATAGACGCAAAATTCCGATCTTAAACATGAAAGACTTGAATCTACGGAATAATGTAGAACGTTGTGTCACAAAGCAGACTTCCGTACTCTTCAGTCATGATAAAACAAACAAAATGACTCATTCCTACCTTCTCTTTTTTGCAATTATTGAAAAGATAATATAAGAGGTAAGAATTAATCATAAATCAACAGAAATCTTGGATACTTTTGGAGTTTCTATAGAAAAATTTGTCGATTCGACTGCTATTTGTTTCAACCCTTTGCACTCGGAAGTTTCTCAATAGAAATATTTGAACATTGTCGGATGAGATAAAGACGACATTGTTTAAAACTAATTTAATGATAATTCACAAATAAATTAAGCAACGTGAAAAACTGAAGAATTCATGAAAGAATTAGTATCGTATCAAGCTTTACGATGACGTGTATACTCGTCGAAGGACGAATGCACGTAGAGTATTTACTGAAAGATCAAAGCGAAACAAAGAATTACATGTTTACGCGAAAAACTAAAGAATTAGTATCGTGTCAAGCTTTACGACGCGCATACTCGTCAAACACAGAACGAACGCACGTAAAGTATTTAACGAAAGATCAAAGCGAAACAAGGAATTACATGTTTACGCGAAAAACTAAAGAATTAGTATCGTGTCAAGCTTCACGACGCGTATACTCGTGAAACACAGTCAACTGGTTAAGAAACTCCGGAACGTCGGCGAACCGTCGATCATCGAAACGTCCGCGGTTCACTCGGCTATCAATTAGGGGTGGCGAAAATTGTTTAGAGAACGTCGTTGAAATGCAAAAACGGAACCGCACACGCGTGCACGCGGCTGAATTATCGGCGAGCGAGCCGTCGAATCGCAACGTGCAATAACTTGCCGCGAAACAAGAATTCTCGGGGTAGCTCGCGTTCCTCGCGCGGGGGCAGAAACTCGAAAGGGGCGCCGAGGGGGCGAGCGTAATTGCAACGACGCGACAAATGACGACGCACGCACGACTGTGCCCCACGTAAACGTCAGACGTCCCGATGCTGACCGCTGCCCCTACCTTCCAGGTAATTCAACCCCCTTCCCCCGTGCCCCTACCTCCTCTCTCTCTCTTTCTCTCTCTCTGTCGCTCTCTCTCCTTTTTCCCTTCTACCTGTTTCACCTGTAACCACGCGATACCATATCGAATGGCTATACACTGACCGTAGCTCGCCGGCCACCCCTTTGGACACGAGGGTGGAAACTCGTGCTGACACAGGCGTACGCGTTTCAGGTGAAAATGACCGGCTATCGACTATCCCCGCTTCACCGTTTCCATTGTTCTTTTCCCTTTTGCTTCGTGGTTCAGAATTTCTTTGTTTCTGTGGCTCACCCCTTCTTCTCGTGTTGGAGTCGAGGTGAAGATTTTAACACGTTGAATGCCGCACGATTTTGTAGAGCGAAATACACAAAATGGAAGGAACATATTATTAAATTATTTAATTGAATTGCGTTGTCTATAATATAGAAATATCTTCAAATAATCGTCATTTAATTGAGTGAACTATGGTAATTCGATTTGGTTGGGGTCACCGGTGACCCCCATGGCATTCAACGTGTTAATTGGTTTTTATATGATTTCAATTGACTTATATGCGTGATGCTGCATCGATTCGTTTAACACTAGAACTACCGAGCTTGATACGATTGAAATGTAATCGCTATGAATATTGTAGTAATAGATTATTTCCGGTTTCTTCAGACATTCATTATAGCATTCCAGTGAAACTATTTATTTTCAGAATCGTTTCGAATATTCAATGCTTCGAAGATATCGATAATTGCGAAACAAATCGAAACCACTCATTTTGACTGGTACAGCAGTTCTAGTGTTAAGAGTGTTATTGAAAAGCAGTCGTATTTCAACAGTTATGAAAGAAAGTTTCTTTGAATAGATAGTATTCACAGCATTCGAATTCCTCGAAGGAAAGTAGCTTTTTCAGTATCGGGATCTTAAGTATCATGTTACAATATTGCATGAATTAATGTCAATTTCAGGGCACTTAACGGTCGTACGACATCGCGCGAATGAAATATTAATGAACTTCCACCACCGCCGGAGTAATGAGGTTCAATTGTTATGTGGTTAATGTTCGCCGGTGTTTATTTAAAACTCCGCGAAACGTAATTAACCCGGCGTATATACTCGAGCCGCTACTCACGCGACGTTCGTAAATCAACGAGAGTGAAACGGGACCAGGAATGTTCTCGGCGTATCGCTGCCCGTTTATTCGCCCGGTTGGATTGCTTTTTAAACGGATCCTCGTAAATAGTCATGACTATAAAAATCAATTTTCCCGGTTGCATTTCATCAGCCTGCTTCCTTTTTTATTTCCGAAGAAGAAAACGCGTCGCGCTAAGAAGCAACCGTGTCAAGGCCGAAAACGATTATAACGATTCAATGACTCGGAATAAGAAATTGATCGCGTTATCAATTTACAGTAGAACCTATGAGTAAGGGTTGAAACCCTTTAGCGTTACAGGGTTTCACGTGAAATTCCCCTTTTGTATACTGGTACAACTTGTGTTAGTAATGAAGCTACCAGAGTCAAATTGATCCACTACAGAATTATTTTGTTAGTATTTAAATTATACAGATTCTAAATTAAATTTGTGTATTTGTACAGATACAAGACTAGAAAGTCTTTCGAATATTAAGCGACGTATTGTTCTAGCTTGTATAAAACATTAAAAATAAGTTATTTCAATTGTCTGCCAGAGAAACTGATCTATTAAGTTCACTCTAATCGTTCCAACGCGTCAATACGGGGCGAAGGGAACTCCCCGTTTTCCAGAAACGTTCCACGGTGTTTGTAGAAGCAAGGTGAATTGACAAAATTGCGGGAAGGCACTTGTCGACTATTCATACCAGCACTTAACCGGTAGTAAAAAGATTGTGGAAAAAATTCTCTGGAAAAATGCCACTCGAGCGACGCCATGTTGTAACTCGCGTGTCGGTGGCTAACAAAGGTGCAATGCAGATAACGCCCCCATGGAAGAGGTAGAATAAATATACCGAAACAGCTGGCAGATAGAATGAAACCCGTACGTATGGTAAATTGAATGTGCTGGTATCTACTATGTACTCTGTTTTGTTATGCATATCTTGCAACGTTATACAAAGCATGTCTCGATCATTTATAAAATTGATCTACCGTCTACTGCTAGGAGATCACTTGATAGGCTGAGAAGTTCAGCTGGTTGATCTTTCATTTTTTCTCATTCAATTTTTCTGTAGCCTTTGCTTCCTAATTTACTGTTCGTTAAGTGACAAATTAAAACCATAACACTAAAATATTTCATCCTGCGTCGTTTCCCTAGACATCAAGTCATCTCCCAACCGTACACCTTTGGAATCAATGAAGATTCTGCTGCAATAATGCAAATGAAAAGCGAGTGACAAGAGAAATTCAACGAAGTGTTACAGCAAGACAAAGGATAGAATAGGTTTTACTTACATGTTGTACATGGACACAGCGTGCACTTCGTTTGGAGCCATTCTGGAGAACTGTTGCCGACGATACAGCTGTGACGGTGACAACGAGCGCAATCTCCTTCTGTAAGAGTTGGTCCGTATCGCGGGGAAATAGTCGCTTGTCTGGGCATCCGACGATATCAACTCCACGTTGTTCAATTTCTGAGCAGTGGCGTCCTTCGTCCTACGGTAGAACCTTGCCTGTAACACAACGGATACATACGCTTCTTAAAATTATTCAAAATTTAACCAAGTAGCAATCCTCATCCAACTGAACAGCTTAAAGAATAAAGAAATACAATTAGCAGACAAGGACATTTATTTCATTGGTTAAGGGATTTGTCAAAAGTTCAAGACAAATATTCTGTTACTAGTTAATAATATCAAATATCAAATGTGTTAAATAAATACTGTTACTAATATCAAATTCAACTCTGCATCATTGTGCAGTTTCCTCTAAACTGTAGATGACCCTAGGACACGTTGAACCTACTTGAGGAGATATATTCCTATCGCTGATCTCTTCGCCATTGGGATTGAAGTCTAGCCTATTGTAAGAGTGAGACAATGGTGTGGGTGCAGTTTGAAGTGGTCGAAAGGAATTCTCGTCCCCGAACCGTCCTTGTCTCCTGCTGATCGTGTTGTACCTGGAAAAGCTTAAAGTGACTACCACACTTTGTTTAGCTTTAAACCAATTTTCATAAGCCACCGTACATATCATGCATGACGAATGTTTGTTGCTGGATGTTCCTCAGCGTCGTGGACTGCTGACTGTCGGAGGAATTCGATTGGATGAACCTGGAGCCATTGTCCGACTTCCTGTTTGTCTTGTCTTTCTCCAAGTACTTGCGATAGATCCTCCTAGTGACGTCCAAGTATTCCTGGCTTGAGGTATCCGACAGATTCTGCAATATTAATTATTCATCTCGAGTCAGTCGTGATTCATTCATAACCGGACGCTGGTTATAGGTCTACAAAGCGAAGTAAACGTCTACAACCCGCGTAGTTGATATCTACAGTTCCCATTAACTTGTAGAAGTCTCCTTCGCTCGATAAACCTATAAAAGATACCTTCAACTGCTCGGAACTTACACTGCTGTCTGTGTTCACGTTGTTCAGGTTTTTTATAGAACAGAACGTGTCGTAGCTAGTATTGGTGCTGCTCTCCCGTTGACTCCTCTTCCTCCTGAACATGGTTCCGCAAGATCTGCGTTATGGGACATGTCAATCTGACGTGTGTTGAATTTTATAACTGCTATTTGGTAAATGCTTACGTCGATTTTCATTGACAAGATTATATGAACATTATTAGCCTAAAATCTAATTCAACAAGCATCCATTTTTCTAGAAATAATAGAATAACCTAATCTAAGTTCATAACAAATATGAACCCTCCAAACTGCTTGAAAACAGTTGCAAGAAAAAAACTGGCGTCGAGTAAAAATATTTACTATGACCTAACAGCTACAATATCAAATTACTGATAATCAATACTTGCTTTTGTTATGAAAGAATTAATATCAAAAACCCTGAAAATTCCCATTGCGGTCACTGCGTTAAATCATTTTCATTCGACCAACACCCATCTATTACCTAGCATTCGGTTCGTGTGAATTGACACTACTCTCCGAGGCATCTTTCAACCTCTTTTTCAAATTAACGCTGCTCAATTCTGCGTTGGCAGGCTTCTCCTGTACCGATCCAGTCTTCGCTCCTCGGTCCCGAGCAAACAACACAGGGATCCTAGAGTCTGCTTTATTGTTAATTTCCTAAAAAACCGAGCTGTAGTAAGCCACATCATCACACCTTACAACAGGTCCACTAAAAAGGCACAATTTTGCAAAAACATACCCGCTGATCGAGACTTTCTTCGACGTTCCGGTAGTTCTTGGATTCCCTCGACGAGGTCGAGACTCTAGAACGGTTCCTCGAGTTCAAGTTGTAACCGCCACCTTCGTCTAAAATGCGATCATACCACTGTTATAAATTTATCACTGAAAAACAGTAAGAATAAAATTACCATTTCCAAACTCAGTGTTAACTCCTCGACTCGGTTGCAGATTCAATTCATCCTCGCACTGAAGGTTCTGGAACAAGTACAAATTCGATCACATCATCCTCTAATCAACACTAATCCAACTAACCCTAAGCAGGTTCAATAATTGCTGCAAATTTAAGTGAGACATCGTTCCACGCGGATGCTGTCGAAAACGGCGAGTGCCATTGGCACGAGAATAATCCTATCCGCGCGACACCTTATCAAAATTTTCATGGATTATTGTCTAGTAAAGCGGCTCTATAATTCGAAAGAAAAAAAACCAAACGAAAGTCTTCGGTGGCTTGAATGCATCGTCGAATGGAACGAGGCGATCGCGACGAGATAGGCAATATTCAGCTCATGGTATTCTCAGCATAATGTGCCCAAGGTTCTCTATCCTCTTAATGTTCGGTTTAACAGAATTTGCATCTGTTTACGGGACTTAACAGGGGATCTTGCGAGAGCCAGAGTTCACGAGAAGTTAACGGTTCAACTCTTTCGTTATTTGTTCCCCGGAGTGGCCGGCGAGCATTCGCGGATCACGGGCCGATATAAACTTTAAGACATCGCTGCTTATGCAACCAGCAATTTCATATTTAAATCGCGCGATCGTGATTCGCGGCTTAAAACTGTTTTCGTATAACGCGATCGCGGCTCGCGGGGGCAACGCTGACCTCGGGACACGCGAGGGAACGTCCAGCTGAAGTTAAGCCTGCCCGGTTCATTAGGCTTGCATTTCGATAGCGGCCTCATCAAAATTGTTAATTGGAATTTCCATTTGGCAATGTGTACTAATGCTATCGATTCCGAGCGCGCGCCAAATCCCGTTCATTGACATCGAGGAGGCAAAGTGCACCGGGCACAGACGGATTAGCATTCCTTGCCCGGGCAACGGTGTACTAGATGTTTTATCGGATCGTGTGTACAGTAGTCGCAGTGTATGATATAGCAGTCGACTTATTAATATTAACGCCAGGCTGTCCGCATATCAAATTTTATAAACATTACTTTACGTTGGCTCTGATTGTCGCGATTATTAGAATCTATGCGTTGATGATCTATTTTTAACACTTTGACTGCCACGTCACTCAAATTTGGGGGACATTATTTTTTACAGAAACGTGGACATTAATATTTTTCGTGACGTATAATAATTTTGTTGGATATGTGAGATATAAGAGAGATAGTGGAGCAATTATTAAGGAGAATCTTAATTTCTCAGTTTCTGGTTAATGGAGAGAACTGTTTCGAATACATAGGAGTTTTGATGAGTGTTTACGTGGCAGTCAAAGAGTTAAACCTCTAATTTGCGAGATCTACACCAACGAATAGTAATTGTTCCTGCTGAAGGACGGTTACAAGCTTGATTTTAAATCAAAATATTTAGTAAAGTAGCTAGATCATAGAATAATGTGACTAATGTAATACTGAATCATTAATAATTATTTTCAGTATCATTTGCCTCTGTTATTAAAGAATAAGTATTACTACTCATAACGCTAGAAATTCTCGTGGCAGTCTGCGTTAGTAAGAATTGATAAATTACATTCTGGATATCTCAACCACTTGACACTAAAGCTACACTTAACCTAAATGTACAGTTGGAAGATGACTTGATGTGTAGTGAAACAAGTACAAGAGGTATCTTTGGTTTGTAACTGACGAGTGAATTAATGATTGAAAACATCAGCAATTAAGAAACAAAACCAACAGAAAATTAATGAAGAAAAATAGAAACTGATTAGCTGAATTCCTTAGTCATCAAGTAATCTCCTAGCAGTACCTGATCCTGCGACGGTACTATTTGCCAAACTACAGGATGATCTGTCTTGGGTCGCATGCCAACTCCGAGTGCAACGAGATTTGGCCTGTCAATCCATGGATTTTCAGAGCCTTTCGCGTCTTCACCCCTGAAAAGATTCAACGGAACCCTTCAATCATTTCCTATCTTCATCTAGCAAGATGATAAATGAACCACCTTGATGTTCAAGACATTACCTGGCAAGTTTCTCCTTCTCCGACCTGGTTGCTATAATTTGACCTTTGGTGCGACCGATAGCAGGTGAAACTGATCCACTTCCGGCTACGATCCAGTCCACGTCAGGCCCTGAAGAAGTGTATTCAAATGTTCAATCTAATGCTCGACATTGGAAATTAAGTGTATATTGTTGGGTATCATGGTTTGACATCTAAAGAAATAATCAAGCGTGTAGTGTACCGGTAGCTATTTGGACGGTGGGCGAGATTTGCAGTCCATACATAACAAGGCCATCAGCGGAGACCAAAGGTAACGACTTCCGGGCGAGACGTGCCCGAATAGCAGACATCATTGCCTCCCCGTCGTGGTGCGCTTCCGACGCTCGTTTTCCAGCCGCTAATACTTCCTGGAAGTGTTGTGCAATGACAGTGACAATATAGTTGAACCAGTTGACAGTCAAATTTGAATATAGAATATATATATTTTTGCTAATAGAAATTCAAAGAAAAAGCTGGTATCACTGATGATGAGATATGAAGTCAAATCACCTCTGATTCATAGATCTGAGCTAAAACAGCCAAAGTGTCGAGAGCTGCCTGTCGTACCCTGCGTCGTCGATCCCTGACCATTCTCGCCACCTTATTCGCCACCGCGTCTACTTTGAACTCCGTGCTGGGGAACGTCACCAACGAGAAGATCAGCAGCTGCAGCGTGTTTTCTCTGGTCTATGGTGAAGGAGAACGAAGATTTGAAACGGGAAAGAATGAAATTGTACAGAAATAATTGTACAGAGAAAACAGATTATATTATTATCTTATTTTCGACGTTATTAGTAAGAAGAATCGTTAATACTGCTCTCTACAAACTATCTATTCCTCAACCGCATTTCAACTAAAACATAATACAAAGTTATCAAGGAAAAAATGCAAAAAAAATTCAGAGTACAAATGAGTTAGCAATTCCTCAAACGTTATTTTCAATATTATTAGAAGAATCGTTAATACTGCTCTCTACAAACTATCTATTTCTCAACTGAACTTCAGAATGCAAATGAGTTTATTTTGAGTTCGCTATTGAAATAAGATAATAATATAAAAAAAGCAATAAGCGACTGCAGTATCTAGACGGCGTCAGCCGCCGTAAAGTAATAAACGACTGCCGTATATAAGCGGCCTCAGCCTCTGGACCAAAAAGCGGCTGCCGCATATACGCGGCACCCGTCGCGAAAGGGTTGAAACGCTACCCTCGCGTTCCTGGCGTTCAAACACTGCGGCTGCAGGAGTTCCTCGAGCAGAAGAGCCGGTCTCAGTCTGAGCATCGCGATCCTGGCCAACTGAGCGGCGCACGGTCCACCCTGCCTCGCCAAACCCCATGCCAGCTGCGGCAGCCTTTTCTTCAAAGCCTCCTCGCTGACGCCGGCCACCACCACCTGAAATGGAAACCAGGGTGAAATTCATGCCTTCATCCGTCACACGTTCGGTTTATTCCTCCCGTATAAAAGCCGGCCGTCGTAAACCCCGATTTCGAGCACTCGCGTGTGAGCCACTCATGACGGGCCGCATTTATTACCATTTTACAGGAATGCCTGGCTCAGAATGTTTCACCGTTCCGGGAAGTCCCGTGAAGTTCCGGGAAGTTCCGTGATGCGAGGTGTGAGTCAGGGTTTTTAAGGGAGCCCTGGAAAAGGTCAGGATATCCGCGAGATCCGAGGCTTTCAGGGCACTCGTGCACTTCCGGTTCTTGGGACCTGTTCGACTAGGGTCTTTAACCCCTTCGCGTATTCACTTTCGTTACTGAGCTCGTGTGCCATTTTACTGTCGACAATTTGGAAGAAATGCGACGAAATTGTCCGTTTTACTTTAAGTGGAAGTTTTATTTGAAGATGATGCAATGGTAATGGCGAAATAGTTGGTTGCTTTGATCCGTGGGTAATGAACAATCGATTGTTGTTGAATTAGTCTAGAAATCTTCACGAGTCTTTAAAAAAATCCTCGTCCGCAAAGGGTTCCTCGATGCTTCGTTAACGTTCTAACAAGTGTTCCTATTCTAATTAATTCTTAGAAACGATTATGAATATCACACAAATATCACACGAATATTACACGAATATTATAAATACTTAATGTAGCCTGGCAACGCAATCCTAGGCAGTATAGTAATGTTAAGTGAGTGGAGCTCGTGGGCATCTTGATCGAACAGCCGGCGAGAGCGAAGAAGAAAATAATATATATTTATCGAGAATAACGTGCCGCAAGAAGTTAGCGTTTAGATTGATCAGGCGCGAACGAGTTCGCCAGACTTACCTTTGCCACTGCCAGGCCAGCAGCAGCTACCCGACAGCTCCTTTCACAGCCTAGCACTGTATGCAAAAGAGATCCTAATCGGGGTTCTATCGCGATCAGCGCAGAAGACGTTCGTAAGGCCGATGCTACGCGTTCTAGGCCCCTGACACGAGCTCGCCAGTCGTCCTGAAGCAACCGAATTACAATCGAGTCAAATCATTATGGATCCAATATCAATTCTCCACTCCAAATTCACCCTTTTGTAAATTAAATACTTCTATATATATATATATATATATATTTTATTTAAGAAAACACCAAATGTTAATTAGTAAGAAATAATTATAGATCCAATATTAATTCTGCACTCCAAACTCACCCTTTTGCAAATTAAATATTTCTACATATATATTTTATTAAAAAAATCACCGAATGTTAATTAATAAGAAATCAAAGATTTCTCCATTCTCTATCATTAACACGTTAAGCACCATAGAAATTTTGACCATTTCTCCGTAAAGTCATTCTTCCATATCAAAGGGAAGCAAATTATTCAATATTTGACGTTACAATCCTTATTACACATTTATCTTACGTTATTAATCATTTTCATTGAACATCAGTTATCTCGCATATTACGATTGCTTTCGAATAATTCAGAAACATCATCGGTAACTAACATGGCGCTTAACGTGTTAATATTCAATTACTTTTACTTCTTCAAACAGAGAATGATCCAATAGCTCTACAAGTTCAATAACTCGATAAACGCATAATATCAAGAAATGAATGAAACGCAAATATGAATTGACCATTTTTCTCTATTCCTTTTGTTCCCATTATCTCGATTCCCGTCGACAGTTCAGCAGTTCGTTCACGCGTGCGTGGGGATCGTTTGGAAAGTAAATCGCGTAGAAAGTATCATTTAATACGCGATGTCGTCGGTCAAGAATCACGAGTCGTCGAGCGAACATTTATCGATCGTTGCAGCGGCGAGTCTGAATGCGATGCACTTGGTAACATCTGCATTCGCCTTCCGATTCGGCTCTATTTACACGGAAATGGTCAATATTATCGAGCTCCCATGATTTCATTAAACTCGCGGGATACTGCGGCACCACGTGTCGCGTGCGGCTCGACGCCATTATCCCGCTAATCAATTGCTCCCCTTCAAATCGAAGCGTTTCAATAATTAAAGATAAAACACTCGTGTTTCTTACAAATTAACCCTTTGCACTCGATAATATTTTTCATTAAAAATATTAGTTGTTTTCTGAAATATTCGTGGTTCTTGCAAATTAACCCTTTGCACTCGACAATATTTTTCATTAAAAATATTCGCTGCTTTCTGACTAGATATTAACGATATTTCTCGCAACACAATTGATTGTCTTCTATAAATTAAGAGATAGAACTATTTTATGTTTTATGTGTTGATGTATTATACAAGGTTTATTGTACACATTGTACATTAATTCTAGCGAAACTCAGGAGATCAGTAATTATACAATTAATTTTGAATGTAACATTTTGCACTCCAGAAGTGTTTCACTGGAAATATTCAGAATTTTCTAATAAGATGCAGACGACATTTTCTGAAACTTAATTAGAAATGGAAAATATTAATATTGAATTATACAACTGAACTTCGTTATTGTTGTCGCACGATTATGTTGCTGAAATTGTAATTCGATTTGGCTGGAGGTCATCGGTGACTATAGCATTCAACTTGTTAATAGTAAACTTTACGAAGTTGTTGTATCGAATCAATTAACTAAAGACGCCTCTGAATGCAAAGCGTTAAATAAAGTATCACTTATTTACAGTTTACATTGACTCTCAGTCGACATTTAATTCGATAGTAAAACTATAAAATTATTAATTATTGTAGTATCTAGAATTTTTAGCGTAGGTTAATTTTCAAGAAGAGTGAATGTAAGAATGAGTGAGTGAAGGACAGGTTGTAAAACGTACTTTTTACGTATTGTCCGTATTGTTTCCATACTTTATATTTATTCCTAGCTCTCGATTACCCAAGATCCCTTTCATTATTTATACTATACTAACACCATACTATCTACTTAAATTAATTATTTCCAACGAAACACTTCCTAGTGCAAAGCGTTAGCCGTCCCCGCGTATCCAAGAACGCGCGCGGATCACGAAAGCCGCAGCGAACAATCAATCCGAAGATGCCACCGATCCGACGCGGTCTGGAACGACGGCGATTTGCATGGAACACGGAAAGGACGTTCCGCTGGACCGACTCCTCGCACGCAACACGTTCGCCTAATTATTTTCTTGTTAGCCCGCTCCACCCGTGCGCCGCGCAATTTCCACCGCGGCGGAATCTCGCGATCTCTCCCATTCTCTCTGTCTCTCGTTTTTCATCCGCGGAATATTCATGGTGTCCGGCGAGATGCCCGTGCCACGCGGAAAACGCAACAGCATGAATTATTCAAGCGGTCCCGTTCGACGGTGGGGGAAACATCTTCTGAAAGTGTGATCAGTCCACTTAATCAGGCGACACGCGTGCCGCGGCCATCCCCCCTCGGGAGTCGGGGGAGAAATAATACCCGATGGACGCCGGGAAAAACAGCGGGACTGATTTAACGCGTCGCTACGATGTATGCGCCGTTTCTGCGACGAGGTTTTTGACCCGAGCCGATTCTCGAGGCTGAACCCTTGTTTCTTCAACCCTTGCGCTGTTTCTTTCGCGACTCGATGGAATTTTTGGTCTGCTGGAATGTTCTGCTCGGTTTTGAATGGAGGGAGAGGGTGGATTTGTGAAATGGTACCTTGGAGTTGCGGTAGCTGGTACGTGTAGATCGTGACGCCTTTATGGCGATGATAGGGGAAAATAGAAATGGGGGTGTAGAAATGTTTGTGGCTAATTTAATTCAGAAAATGGGGAATGTAAGTATTCTGATCGTTTAGTATGGAACACTGTTGCTTTATGAAATGAAGTATGTAGAGAAGTTGAGTCTCTCGGAATGTTCTGTTCGTTTTCTAATTAAAAGAAAATAAGGCAAAGATCTGAGTAATTGGGCTGGTATCGGTAGTCGGCCATTTTTCACGAAAATACGCAAGTATTGAGTTTTCGAAAGTGTCTATAAAAGTTGAATAGCATAACTACTTCAAAGTTCGCTTTGTTACTTAATGGAAGAAGTTCAAACGACATTTTTTCAAACGACAACGTTTAACATTATTGAGAAAACGAGCAGCCCGTAATCATTTATTTCTCACGACACAGTGTCGCGATTTCTTCGAGTTAATAAAAAATGCCTCGCAGATTACACGAAGTCGCGGGATCGATATCCGTGATGCTATTCAGTTTTATGGTTCTTATTCCGCGCACACCTGCACACGGGGACATTCATGCGGAGGCATAGAGTGGCCTTGAACTTCCGCTGAATGAAAGGAAGACGATTTTCACGGCCGACGGACGTCCGACGTGTCTCTGTGACGATAATAAACCGTCAGCAGAATTTCTCACCTACTTTTTTACCAGAATAGAAGCTTCCCCTATTTTTCATATTATCTTTTCCATTCATTGATAAGGCAATGCTACTTTTAGAACGATATGAGGACTATCTAGAATTTCTCATCTAAGTTGATCAATTTCTAACCGAAAAATACAAATAAATGTCACTTTTGGAACAATATGAAGACTATCCAAAATTTCTCATCTAAGTTCATCAATTTCCATTCGAAAAATACAAATAAATGCCATTTTTAGAACAATATAAAAACTATCTAGAATTTCTCATCTAAGTTGAACAATTTCTAATCAAAAAATACAAATAAATGTTCAGTATACAAGTATAAAACCGAAGATCCACTCGTTTCGAGACACAACTGCCTTCGCTCAAACTACAGTGTCACCGACACTCCTCGAATCGAATTAGTATGCCCGACAGTGTCCAAGCTTCGTATCGCAAATACCTCCAAACCGTTCCCAGGGGCGGATACACTTGAAAGCATTCGAAAAGTTTAAAACACTTCACACTCGAAAATATATTGATCCCTTTCGAACATTATAATTCCATCATTTTACCATATTGAACCAAATGGTTTCGCATCTTGAGTGCAAATTAACCTGAACGACACTGTACATACGACCTCTGCAAACATTTATCTAATCCGTATCAACAACGAAGTGATTATTCCACTGACTAGAACTTTATCATCGGCAGTACTTCGAAGCTAGTTTCATTCCTCCACGTCGTTGATCTTAAATATTTCTAACGAAATACTTCCGAGTGCAAAGGGTTAAAAAGCTAAAGAGTTCGAAGGGAATAGAGATTTTAGCAACAAATAGCAGCAGGTTTCCTGCTCGCTAGGTCCACCACTGTCCGCACAAGAGGAAACCGGTCAGTCAGTGCCCGACGAGGAAGAACGAATATTCACCCGGCTCTTCGCGATTTTCCTCAAACGATTCGGAGTCAGGGCCCAGTGAAGATCGAGTCAGTAAAGTGAATTTCCTCGGAAGAGACACGTCGATTCATTAAAAACTGGCGGTTTCCGGTATCAATCGAGTGCAACATGCTTCGAAACCAAAGAAGAGTCTCGCAGATCCTAAAATGCATGATTGCCTGCGGACTGATCGTTCTGATCCTAAAATTCACCGTTCTCCGCGTCGTTGAAGAGCAGGCGATGCCCAAATTCGAAGAACTTAGCAAACTGATGGTGCGTACGTTGACTTTAGCGGATTTCGCGTACTGTTAACCGTTTAACCAGTTAACTGTGGAATTTAATTTGAAAAATCTCTCATCGCGCGCAATAAAATGAAATTCGAGTCGAGCATTGTGTTTCCGTTTGATTATCGATATAATTATTTCATTCCTCGTGATGGCTTTCTTTATAGAGAATGTAAAACGTGATGAGTTTAGATAAATTAATGCGGCTCGGTTAAATAATTGTGAACTAAAGAAATATTGAGATTCGTTGAAAATATTGTGGCAGGTTGAATAGACCGAAATGGTTCGCGAGGTTTTGCGTGACTAAAAATTGGATTGATTGCATTTAGATGAAGGCCGAGACCGACAATTTTAAGCGGAGGTTGATGGTAATGGACGTCTGTCGAAAGTACAACCTAGGGACCTACGAGGAGACCGATAGACCTGCGAGTTTCAAGCATCCACCTGCACCGCAGTATTCGGTCTTTTATATAACCAGGTTTGGGAACAACGTGAGAATAAATATTACGTTTTGACGCTAGAACTGCCAGAAGAGTCAGAATTGTCTATTCGAGGATTTCTACTTTATGATTGAAGTAATCTCTATTTTGCAATTATTGAGACGATGACGATGCTTTTGCAAGATATTAAAAACGTAATAAGAGATGATTTAACCCTTTGAACTCTGCAGGCTCCAATATTGCACCAGTTCTAATATCAAATATTTCAATGAATTTTAAAACTACCTTAAGATTAGATCTTCAAAATATAGAAAGTTTGTACTGAGAAGGGATTAAAGGTCTAAGAAATGTTATAACATTGTTAATCTTCAGTAGTACTACTATCAGAATTAGTAGGAGTTGCTGACATATCACAAAACTATGTGGAGTGCTAAGGGTTAAATCTCTAATTAAATTTCCTCTATTCTCTAAATTATCATAACTCCCTCGAGAGATTTCGCAATGAGTTATTCTAATTACCAGGTAGTTCTAGTGTTAAACAGAATCGAGATTCAAGATCATCTGATCCCCGCGTTCGCGAAGTCCTCGCTTGCGAAGATAAAATTCTAGTTAGCCTCTATCTCCTTCGAGCTGTCTAGAAGATACTAAACCGTACGTTGCACAGTCAATATTGTTTCTTCGGCCGCGAAGGATTAGATATCTGCTATTACAGCCGCGACAGTCTGGTTACCCAATCGCGAGTGATTTAACGGGTTTGCGTTTCCGCAAACGTTATTTGTCAAATAGATCGCATAATCTATCATACTGTCCGATTTACAAAGCCGGCAGCACGACGTGGATTTACAATTTGTGCCTTCTGATGGACGTGCCGGAGGAGCAGCTGAACAACGGGAGGGAGCAGATATCGGTGGTCGCGAGAAGAGCGATACCGGAACTGGAGTATCCGGAGGCGGATGAGGTGAGGATCGACGGATCTTTCGTTGAGAACGATGCGTGGGCGTGTCGGGGTTGCTGAGAGTCTGCGGAAGCGAAAGAAAATTATGTAAAAGGAACGGAGAGATTGTGAAGAGACGAGGAAGGAAAGGAGATGAAAAGAAAGTAAAAGAGAAGATAAAATAAAGTAGGAGAGAATAAAAGAAAAGAAAGTAAAAGAAAAATGAAATAAAGTAGGAGGAAAGAAAAGAAAGTAAAAGACGGAAAAATGAAATAAAGTAGGAGAAAAGAAGAGAAAGTAAAAGAAGGAAAAATAAAATAAAGTAGGACAAAATAAAAGAAAAGAAAGTAAAAGCAAAATGAAATAATGTAGGAGAGAATAAAAGAAAGGAAAGCAAAAGCAAAATGGGTGCAGCTCCCGGCGAGTAATGAAACCCCGACACGATTAACGGTTCGATTAACGGAACCGTCGAAATCTTCGACGGAATCTTTCGGGGACGTAACAAGATCTAACACGAGAAAAACCGGTGCAGGCTCTGAAGGTAACGCGGAAACTGCTGGTGGTAAGGCACCCATTTGAGAGATTGCTGAGCGCGTATCGCGATAAGCTGGAGAACTCCGTGGCTGGAAGGGAGCACGGGACACTTCACTTTTATCGGAAATACGGCGGCAAGATTGTTCAAAAGTATCGCGGTGAGTCACGGCACAAAATATCGATCCTGATATTCCTCGAGCCACGTTCCCATGGTCTACGAGTGTCTGTGCCTGTGTGCACGGTCTCTCGACAAACGATTCTCTTTGATGAATCTAACATGATCATAGGGTATAACTGAATAATTAACCCTGCAATATAAAATCTCTCTGTACTTGAAATATTATTTTATCCTAGCACATCGTGCCGGAGTACTGATAAGAATGTTGAACTAGACTCGACTAATCTAAACGTTATTTACTTCTGAATATAAATTAAATACTACTTTTCTATTGTCAATCGTTAACCATTGGAGTAAATGTATACGTAAGATAACTATCGAATTCTTTTCATTCAATGAACTATCAAAGATAAACTACGTAATACTATCAGTTGTGGAAACATGGAACACGTAGATTCGCGATGAAGTTACAACATTCCCAAATTCAAATTAACTTGGATAAACTATGGATGAACTAACTCGGGAAAGGGTGAACTAGACGATGCTGAAACGTTTGCACTAAAATTTTTACGCAATTATTTGAAAGAAACTGTTTTCAGAGAAGAATTTCGTGAGGCCGAGAGAGGACCAAGTGGTCCGACAAAATGGCGGCCCGCCGCCGGCTGGGATCGAGCCAACTTTCAAGGAGTTCGTGCAGTACTTGATCGATACCGATCTAGCCAGCTACGGAGATGACCACTGGATGCCTTATTATTTATTCTGCACTCCGTGCTTCGTGGACTACGATATAATTGCCAAGGTACATATCCAAACAATAAGGTTTATCCCCTACAAGCGATCTGTCTTAATCGTTGAAGTTGCTCGATCCGAGAAAGCTCGAAGAGTTTGTAAATCTAAAGATTAAATGCGACGACGATCCCCGGATAAAGGGAGTCGTGCATCGAGGACGTTAAACGGTAATGTTCACCGCGAGTTAGCCATCTGGATTTCGGCGAAATAAAGTCCGAGCCTGCTGAATATTAATATATTCAAACTGCAGGCCTGTTTATCGCCCCGTTTTTACGCTTCGTCATACAGGCTGGATCATTTTACGGTCGGCTTACAATTTTTTACGATTCGCAGGTGGAAACGTTATGGCGGGACCAGATTTACGCGATCCATAAACTAGGCTTGCAAGGAGTGATTAAGCCGAGATGGCGTCACAACGGTGGCCATCTAAATGCGTCCAGGACATACTTCAGTCAGATCAGCAGGGATATGGCGGAGAAACTGTACGAAAAGTTCCGACTGGACTTCGAGTTGTTCGACTATTCCCCGGATATTTATTACCGATACGCCACTGCCGAGTGATCGTTCAATAAAAACGAATTCGAATTCTATATACAGTAGCGTACCGATCTTTCTTGATACAGTGTTACGATATAATTCATGGAGATTCGTCAGCAATGTCTCGATCAGTGAGAAGTTAATATTCTTTACCACAAAAAGGTACATTAACCCTTTCCACTGGAGAGGTGGCTCTCGATCGCCGTTTGTTTCAACGCGACAGCGTTGAAAATATAAAAATCGGTTGCTAAGAGAACGGTTGGAGTACACTGACCACCGAACGCCGTGTATTTTCGTGAATTTTCCCCGTGTCACGACCCCTCATTAACGCTGCTCGAAGAGGGAGACTTTAGGACAGATCGCTCTGATACATTACGCGGAACTAGGTCAATCGATTTCGTTGGCAAAAGTTCGTCGCGTGGCGTAACGTGATTTAAACCCCATCAATTAAGACTACGTACGCTTATCGGACTTCAACGCGTTTCTTTGTTTTTGCCGGGTCGTGTGTCGTCCGGCGATTTCCGTGACCGGCAGCGAACGAACGACGTGCTCCCAAAAATCTGGGACGCGTCCGAATTGGACTGGACGTCGTTCAGCTTGATTTTTAAATATTCCATGAGCAAGCCGATTAGCATTCGACGCCGGCCGCTCGTCAGGGTGCCGGTCGATACTCGAGTCAATTTAATTGGATCGGAATCAGGCGATGTTCCGAACGGTTCGCTGCTGACAGTCGATTCGCGGTTCTCTAGTTCTATCTTCGTGGCAATCGGAATGACAATGACGGATACTTGTAGTCTGAAAGCTTGTAGCCTGCCGCTTAGGCCACTATAACCTGCTTCATTAATTTCAATTGAACTCGTCCGACAGATTTCATTGACAACTTTCACATAAGCGAGAAACTTGAATTGCAAATGTCCCCAGTCGAAGGCTCACTAAGTAGCAGAAGACAAAAGTGTTAAAATAAGGATTGACAATTCAAGAACTCGACAACGCATACGATGAACAATAATGACAAATGACTTATACAGAATACGTATCACTCACCTTATTATGCAAATCCTCCAGCACCTCCCGATCGACCAATCCCAAGTCCTCCCAACTTGGCTCTTCCAGGATGACCTCCATCCCATCAACACCATGAACCACGTTGCTAGGCGCAGCTTTATCACTTTTCGTCGATCGTTCACCATGCTCAACGTTCTTCTTCAGCTTCGCGTCGTCCGGCGTCTCCTTCCTATCAACCCCCGAGTCCTTCGCATCATCACGGTCACACTCCACTCCGTCGTCTTCCACCGGAGAACCAAAGAGATGATCCACCTTAGGTACATTCTCCACAAACGCAGCTTTATCTTCAATAATCCTCTTCTGATCATTCTCGACTTTATCCTGATGCTTCCGTTCCCAATAATTCTTCTCCTCCTTCGCGTCCTTCTTATGCCGAGTGGAGTCCTCGGAGTCTCTAGTCCTCGAAGAGTTCTTCGAGCCGTCCAGCGCTGAAGGTTCCCTCTGTTTCTCGTCTGGACTCACCCAGTTGCTACCCGCCGGAGTCCCCGAGCTCTGAGAACCTTGAACCGAGTTCTCTTTCCTTTCACTCTGACTTTCATTATCCGCACCTTTAGCAGGACTCTTCTCGTCTTCGACTGACTCAGCGTTAGCAGCATCCTTCTTCTTCTTGGACTCGACGGGCCTGACAACGACGGGACTGCTGGTCCTGGTGAGTATGCTCTTCTTGGGACTCAACTGCGCGTTGTGCGTGTAGACCTCCCGTTTGGGGCTGCTGGAGACGGACCTAGCTGGCCGGCCCGTTTTGCCGGCGTCTCGCTGCGGACTGCACGGCTGGGAGGACGGTCTCCTGCGCGTCTTGGGCATCTTGGTCGCCGGGGAGACGGGGACCGGGATCCTCGTCTTAGGCGTCGCCTCGACGGACTCGGTCTCGTCGCTGTCGGGTGTCCTCAGCTTGACTATCTCGCCGCCGAAGTGCACCCGCCTGGGCGTCTTCCTGCGGTCCGGCGAGGAGTCCTTGTTCTCGGCGTCGTTCCTCACGTCGGTGCCGCTCTCGTCGTCCTGCTCCTTCTCGCTGTCCTCCTTCTCCTCCAGAATGGTCATGGTGATCGCTGTCTCCTCGTTGAACTTGATCTCCGTCTCCAGCACCACTCTGGCCGCGGGCATCGCCCCTCCGTTCACCTCGTCCTCCTCCTCGACGATGCCGGACGTGTCGCTGTCGCTCTCCTCCCACTTCCGGTCCACGTCCTTCTCCGTCCTCTCGACGCCCTTGCCATCGGCGATCCTCCTCCGCGCCTTGCCGCCGGACCGCACGTTGTAGATCTTCGACAGTATCTCGATGTTCCTCTTCAGCTTGTTGTCGTAGTCCTCCAGGTAGCCCTCGAACGCGTCCACGCCGACCGCGTCCCGTATCTTGATCAGCGACTTCAGCACCGCCTCCTGGTGCGGCACCTGGGCGAGCCGCGACGCGAGCGCGATCGTCGCCTCCTTGATCAGCTGCGAGCTGGCCACCGGCCCGCTCGACGAGGGGAACAACAGCGACGGCACGCTCAGGATCACGCCCGTCGTGACGTTCGTCTGGAAGGAATCCCGCACCTCCGACCGACTCAGACCATCCTGAAGAATCTGCAAGGAGCGCACACCCCCGATGCAACCGCGTCCCGCGATCGATGGATCAGATAGTGGGGGGCGAAGTGCAAGGTCGTGGCATGCTCGCGCATTACCGGATCAACGGGTTAATTCATGAGATCTCGACGGTCCTTACTCCTCGGAATTTAGTTGCAGTTTGGAAACCCAGAAGGTTACTCAGTAATGGTTGTTTCATTGGAGTGTGAAAACCGAGAGTTTAGGAATTAAGTATGAGAAACTAATGCAGTAAGCAATGCTTAAGCAATGGTTCGAATCTTTTGATCAGGGACTGTACATCTAATGCCTCCTCGATTTCTAATAATACAATCATCTTTGTGATTATTCGGTTAACAGGCTCATAACCGTCTGCAGTTACGCCTTACATTTTTAAACTTTTTAAATCACACGATTCGTGTAGAATTAACCCTTTGCCGGGAGGTGACTCTCAACTTGGTTTGATACGGTAGAACGATAAAGTTTGATATTTAACATTGAACTTTGTATAACGTTACTGTATGAAATATCAAAGTAAAACACCTTTGTCCCTTAATTTATCGATTAAGTCAGTTACATCGCAGCAAACATCGTTTATATTTTATCAAAGAGTGTTGATTTAATCTATAAATTAAGGGACAAAGGTGGTTCACTTTGATATTTCCTATAATAGCATTATGCAAAGTTCAATATTAAATATATTCTTCAACGGTGATGGAGATCGATTGATAAGTGCGACTATGACGCGTTCAACGTGAATTCTAGCGTGAAGTGGTGCGTTGTATATTCGAATCGTTCTGCGGACCAAGCGCAGTCCTCACCCTTTTGATCGTGTTCTCCCTGTCGTGGCTGTGCACGAGAAAAACACGGAACGCGTCCAGAGCGCCCTTCCGAACGGCGGGCGCCGGGTGGCCCAAATTATTGACCAACTCCGGTACCACTGGTTGCATGACCTTGTCCACGACGTCAGGACTCAAAGTCGGCAGCACGTCGATGAGCACGCGAACAGCGTGCTGACGCACCTCCCATTCTGGATCACGCAGTCTCTCCGATATCTCCAAGAACGTGAGACGCGTGTCCACCTCGCTCGGAAACTTCCGAGTTCGCACCTGCGCGAGAAAACCGATCCAATTACAATCTACACACTATATTAAACCCTTCTATTCATCTACCCACTGCATAGCTTTAAATTGCACCTGCAACTCGGTACAAAAGGTCTCGAAACTTCAGTGATAATTACGTCATTATTAGGTTTATCTTGAATGTCACTGCATTAGGTATACTTGTAATAGAAAGAAGTTCTCAAATAATCATAGTTGAATCGAATGAATTATCCAACGTGTTACACAGTAACATACAAACTCAATATCAGTAGACCATAATATACGAATTTGTTTAACACTAGAACTACAGGTCAGAAAACTAAATAATAAATTAAGTAAAGTCTCAATAGAGGCACTAGAATTTTTACAATTCCAAGAAGCCACTTCTTAGATAGTTCCAGTGTTGAAGTAGCAGATTAGCAAAGAAGTGGCAAGCTATCTAACACATTTCTCTGAAAAGTTATTAGAGAAATTGAGTTAACAATGAGAAAACTAAATAGTAAATCAAGTGAAGTCTCAATAGATGCACTAGAATTTTTACAATTTCAAGAAGCCACTTCTTAGATAGTTCCAGTGTTGAAGTAGCAAGCTATCGTAAAAGGTGTCGCAATGTCCAACGGGTGCGAAACGGCGTATCGTACTAACCACGTGCTCCCAGAGGGGAGTGAGCTGTATAGGTTGCCCGTTCGGCGAGGTCAATGTCATCTTTCGAGAGTGCCGGTGACGATGACCTCGTCGCGTTGGTGTCCCAGGGGTTGAGCAGAGATCGAAGGGCGCCAGTTGGGCTGGCAGGGCCGGGGAATCCTTCTGGGGCTGCAGAGGCCCCGTGTTCGTCGATCCTGTCATAGATGACGAGAACTCGAAGCACTCGGACATTACCAGCCTACGTCTCGTCCCTCGGGCACCGCCGGTCCTTCACCATCTTCTTCGGGAATCGCTTCCTTAATTCCGGATCGTTCATCGAGTCACGCGAGGACAGACCTGATCGACAGATTTCGTTACATATTTACGCTGCAGCGAGCAACGTGTCCGCTATTCAGTCTGACATTAATAATTTTGCGACCTGGAATTACACTGAAAATCGTACAGACAATTTGAATGGTGCACGAGTGTCTGCGTTCCTCTTGAATTCTATATTACTTCCTAAATTCAACTGTAATACTATAAACGTTATCATTGGACTGTAGATTTCTATGCACTTGGAAATTTTGAAGCACAATTGCATAGAATGTGTATGACAAAAAGATGTATAAAATATCTTAACCCTTTGCACTCTGTAGGCCAATATTGCACCAGTTATAATATCAGAAGTTAAGTTAATGTATTAAATACATTCAACGTGTGTAGTGCCCATTATCCGGTAATTCTAAATAGTAACAGAACGGTTCCTTTCGCAGTAGGTTCCATGATTCAGTATCTAGCGCGCAAGCAAATTTAGTGGAGCAATTATGCATGGATAATATTCTATACAAAGTAGTCCCTAACGAATATACAGAGCCAGAGAGAGGGTCAATATTGTCTTTGTATAGATTCGCACGTGGAACAACACGGTTGACAGGATCACGAGAGCTATAATTAGTCTAGCGAGCGGAAGGATTAAAAATAACCCTTAAATGGCACAGCTGGAATAGAATAGTTAACGGGTGATCAATGAATTAACCGCGATTATCAATGAAAAAAAGACTTAAGATAACGTGACAAATCCATGGTCGTTATAATTATCATTACCACGGTGGTCACCAATGACCGGAGCTTCCAAATTGCTTGAAAATAATTACAAGAAAATTGATAATCAATGAAAATATTTAATAACACGAAAAGCTAGATAATAGTGTAAGTACTGTAGTACCAAAACATTGATAATCATTTCTAATCAAATTTCCCTCTATTATAGTACCAAAACATTGATAATCACTTCTAATAAAATTTTCCTCTATTATAAAGGAATAAATCTTACTATAACAAAACCCTAAATTCTCATGGCAATGAACAAGTTACGAGAATATAGAAATAATATGAATAATTGTCATATATAATGATAAGTGCCACGGGATTCTAGAGCGCAATCGTCCCCAACCCGCTTAAAATTGAATGACTCCGGTGGTTCCGATGCGGAGGCACCACACGATGCTCCTATATGCCCGACGTTAGGTCCCGACTTCCGCAGTAATCGATCAGCGATATTTCCTCCGCTTCCGGCACATGCTAACCTACGAATGTACGAAATGATTGACAGCGGCAAGACTGTGACCAGTTAGCGACTGACGCACAACCGACTTCCGGTTCCCCTTGCGGAATCAATCACAGCCGGTCACGGAACACGTTTCGACGTTAACCTCGGGGAATCCAATTTATCTGTGTACACAACCGTTCGATCTCGATAGTTTCCTTTCTCAGTGGTCGCTATCCTCTCAAAACTAAAAAGAAAAACGAAATGGTCAACGATGAATTTTTTACTGATACACTCTACGAGAAAGGTCGTTTCAAGGTTAACCCTCTGCGGTCCGGAGTGGTCTTGGTTTCTCACTTTGAGGTTCACGTCGACGTTCATTCAATTACAGCTTAACACTAAAACTACCGAGCAATTGAATTGACTTTTGAAAATTTCGCTATAGAAACTCCAAGAGTACATCTGTTCAGACCTTAATTGATTTACAATTCAGTTTGCGTAGTGCTAAATGAATTTCTTTAATAATTTCTCAGAGAAACATTTGTTACCTTTCTAATAATTGCAAAAAGAAGACATCAGGCATGTGTCATTTGACCCCTCTGGTAGTTTTAGTGTTAAATGACGCTCTATTTATTTATCCAAGAATATTTGGGAGTCGTTGGAATGTCACCTTTAAATGGTACAATTGTGATACTACAAATAAATATAGAAAAAATTGTTAACACGTTGAATGCCGCGCGATTTCATGGTATAAAATACTTGAAATGGAAGAAATATGGTATTAAATCATCTGACTGAATTGCATTGTTATTATTTCAGGTTCATCTAGCTGAATGTCACCACATTAGTTGGCATTATTTATAGTATAGAAATGTTTTCAAGTAATCATAGTTTAACTGAGTGAAATAAAATAGTTCTGTCAAATTATGCAAGATATTTCGTTATGTTAATTGCAAAAACTATCATTGACATTTCATCGGAAAATAATGAATATTTATTGAGAAGAATATTCTCGATAAGGGTTAACGTAAAAATCTTCATCGCGAGTCTCACTCGTCATCGTACGGCATGGGGTTGAACCGTATTAGAAATCTTCGCCTCGTGTCCGATACGA